GTTAAAGGGAAATTGTAAAGAGACGCGGTATAATTTTATTGACAGTTATAACAAATAATAGTCGTAAAAACAGAAATGGTAATAAATGATTTAACTGTCTGAAACCAGTTACCAGATATTTCAAGAATGAAGAGATTAAGTCGTGCTTTTTTACAGTCTAGTAATACAAGCAGCAAAAAAAGACACTTAAAGCCCATTTCGTGTATCGAAATAATTTTCCATAGTGCTTACATTTGTGATACAACTTATATACCGTGCGATTGAAAAAAGGTGATTAGGCCTGGTTCTGGTCTAGCAAATTATAATACGTTTAAGATTTAATTATGACATTGACATTTAAAAAAATTCTTGTTGGTTTAGTGCTTTTAATTTTTTTGATAAGAATAATAGTGTGGTCGAAGATTAATTTTTTATTTGGTGAATGTTTACTTTTAAATGTCTTTAGCGCTTTAGCGTTTGTCTGTTATTTTTTGGTGATTATTTGAAATTTTAGGTTTAACATGAAAATGACCAGGCACTAATCAAAATTTTGTACGTTTAGCCTCTCTAAAACCTTGACTTCGTGTCAAAATACTGTTTTATAAATCTGATGTATACCACAAATTTTGGTGATAAGTATACTAACAATTAATTTGTTGAAAATTAAAAAATTATACTTCGGGACAAAGCTTCACCTTATTTGTCAGTAAGATTAATAATGTTTAATTTGACATTGAAATAATAATAATAGTAATCATGTTGTATATGTACTATAGTGTCAAAAGTGATATTTCGTAATCTGTCGCTATCAGACTCCTGTCAAGCTTAGCAAAAACGTCGGTGAGCCAATTCTGATCTCATCAGCCCTCCCCCTTCCGAAAATGGGTATTATGTATTCTCATTATTGCTCTTGTAAACTTTCGTAATTGACTATACTGGATCACGCAAACTATCAGTAATTATAAGGAAAGTTCGTCGAAGTTGCAGCTCCCCATCAATAATTGCGAGTTGGTAGTCTCCGAAAACGTTGTTGTTCGAACGAGCGCTAAAACAAATCCGACAGCGGTAAGCACTGGAATTGTCCGTGTGTCAACCGAAATCCCCGGAATTGCTTTGTCATATCGATCCGGACATACGTGTAGGAACACACACGATTCATCTGCTAATTCGCAAGACACCTTTTTAATCGCGAAAAAACTCCAATTCGAACGCTCTCATCGACGGAAATTGAGCAATAATTAAGGATATTACGGTGATTTTATTACCGAGCCATCTTATTCCATTTAATTAGCCAGAAAGTTTGATCATAAACGCAAACGGGAAGAATTTAAAAATGCTGAATTACAACAAAAACTAATTTCAACTTTTTAATTAAATTTCAGTCTCTGCGCCAACGAACAGTTGTGTTGTAAATTAAGTTAAACTTATTTAATATAAGTGAGTCGACCGCCCCCGGCTTCGCTCCAGATTGTTGTTGCAGTTTGACTTCGGTGCAGTGCGCATCAGATGGAGCTGTTATCGACTTTGCCCTCATTAAGCACAGAGATGGCGCTGCTACATTTTCGGATAACCGTTTCGGTAATGATGTCGTTGCGCCACTAATGGAAGGTTTCATATTAAATTGCAACCTATTAGATTTGATATTTGTTCGACTGTATAATGCACTCTTCATTTTGGTACCACGAAAAATTATTTGAATTCATTTGTTAGCACTGCGTCCTTATAATTAAATTTCTGGGGATCCATATGGATGCAGTTTTCTGCATCACCGTGCTGAGGTGAGAATGCAGCCATGTCTTATCGAACTTCATTCTTGAAGGCACAATGGAATGAATTCCTTCAGTTACTTGCCATTCCGTTGATTAAACTTTGCAGTTTACATGCAGTTTCTGTCTCAATCGTGAGAGGTGAGAATTTCACCGATTGAACCCAGACTTTTTTTGCTTTTCTTTTTCCTTTCCTCTCTAATTACGCCCCTGGTGCTCCATTTTCCACGGTTTATGTAACATAAAATATCGCTCGACCTTTGCGATGCCGCCGCATTGACAGTTTCGCCTGTGCACTGATATTCACGGTATTCATAAGACAAAAATCGCCAGACCGCCCCATTTCGAAAGAACGACGGCGGCGGCGTTCGAAAAAAGCTCACACTTTCGTTTCGAAAGGGGCGTCCGCGGAAGCGTAACGCAATTACAATTTTAATTAATATTCTGTTTTCTCGTTTTTTTATTCGCCAACAGGAGTCCCGAAAACAAATAAATGTCGAGAGTTTGAACAATGAGAGATTAAAAGTAAACACGCGGACCGCTCGCGAGGGTTCCCACCCCCCACAAGAAAAGGACGGACGGCGGTGCTTTCGCATTTTCATTTATTCCGCGCTGTTCCTATTCAAATAAAAATCGTACATCATTCTAGGACACGGAACAATTAATAACCTCGTTTAAATATTGGACCGTTGTGTGCCGTCTAGTCGTCTCTTGTTGGGCAAAAATTAAAAATCTAAATAAAACATAACGAGCGGCCTTTTGTTTTTTATTGTATCGTAGATCGCGACCGGACCATTGTTGGCGAATTTATCGCCGTCGACTGCAAAAAATACCTTTGTGGCCGACGGACTTTTCGCATGAAAAATTGATGATGGCGCATATGAAATTTTCGAGGCGGCTTCCTGGCGGCACGACAACTGGGACGAGGGAAGGAAAAGCCCTTTCCGATTCGGTTTCCATGAGGAAATGCGCGGTTTGGTTGAGGAATTTCGACTTTTTCTAATTGTGGGCGGGATTTCGGCATTGCTGGCGGCGTGCCGTAATATACGACGGCTGATTTTAATCTGGCACTTTATACCTTTTGGACACGTGTTTGCTGCTAATGGAGGATAAGTTTTCTTTTTATGTGCTTCGGCTGACTCAAATTGTCACTTTTCGAATTTATCGGGTGCTTTTCGATTCTTAGCGGTGTCGAGAATTTTCTGCTCGATATTAATTTCATTTCTTGTCTAATGTTACGTCTAGATCCCGTCTCATATATTCTCCAAGAAAGAATATTATGGGTATATTTCTTTTGTTTTCTCCGTTTTACGAATATTAGAACTGACATTTATTGCTCTGAGGCAAACTTGGATGAAATTCTTTATGACTTTAAAAGTGATGACTGGAATAAAAACCAGTTACACTTTGGATTGACGATGCTTTTATTAAAGAGAAAAAAGATTTACTGCTGCCAAAATGTTTCCAGTTTCCCGACTTAAATTGACAACAGAGGGTAATGTCTTATTAGAATTTACTTTCTCAATCTTACCTAATCCATATCAGTAAATCTATTGATCGCTCTAGAAACACAGCCTGAAAGAAAACTCAGACGTTTCCGACCGGTTGCCTTCGTTCTTTGATTGAGTTTATAACTTTTATTACATGTACAGTGCGTTTCACTTCAATCGATCGACCACATTTCTTTAGATCTACTGCTAGATAGAACGAATTATACAATACACTAGAAACAATACAAGCTTATACTCCAACAACATGCCTTTTCTAGTATATAGAACAATTGCTTTTATGTTAAAATTTTAGCAGTTTCGACGATTCATGCCACCTAGAGTACGATTGAGCAGACAAACTCATTCAAATCAAGTTAATTTCTGCGTGACATACCTTCGTTGCATAAACATAAACACTTGAACTGAAGCTTGTTATTAGTGCTGAAAGGATTTTTTCCCGTTGGTTATTTGCTTTAAATATATTTTATAATGTCCGTATTGGGAGCGCAAATTCTTGGCACAAGGGCTACGGGGGTGTTATTTAGGTATGCCTGTAGTTTTTACTTTATATAAATTATCATTTATAAAATTTTAAAGAAGCTAGATTTTTTTATTCTACCAACGTTTCACCCCTATTAGTTGGGACTTCTTCAGGGTCTAATAGGTGCATGGTAGTTTTTTGGGTTGACGCGATAACGTGACTTAAAAGTAACTAATATATGGACATTTTAAAAACAAAGAATTATCATTACAGTAAACCTTCTTCGGGTTTCGTTAGAATTAAAAAAGGTGTACAAACTAAAATTGTTTTATTTTGTCCGTGGGCCAACTTTCGACATATTCTAAATATTTACTTATTTAGAAATATATATTTCCATTAGTTTTTAGTTGAATAACCGTTAATTAACTAGTCGAGGGACGTCAAAATGCGCTTAACAACCGTATTGTTAGGAAGCTTTCATCGAAAAAAGCACGGCTAATGTTTTCATTCAATTTCACGAATTTAAAATATATCTCACACGTCCGCTTTTATCCATTTTATGCTTCGATTTTAATATTTATACGCTTCGGCCTCTAATACTCACTAAGAACTAAAAAAGTAGAAAAATCCCTACGATCGACGTTATCGTTTAACCCCGAAATCTCGACTACGTGACAGTATTTCGAATTCAGAAAACGAAGTCGCAACATGGAACAACTCACAGACTTGTTTTTCTCGACAGTCGATAATTTAATACAGTTTATAAACAGGTTTATGTTGGGAACATCTTATATTCCATAGATGTCCATCGATAACATTTAGATCATTTTGAAAACGCGGTTATGGCTACTCGCCTAGTGTAAATCGGACGTCTAGCATCACAAACGTCATTTATTAAGGTTATGTTAAACGCTTTTAAAAAGTTGACGCATATTCAGACGGACGTCGTGTTATTTTGAGAAAGATAATTTGACAAATGAAAATCTCGTTCGCTCAGTTTATTCTCTTGGACGTCAAACTACAACTTGCCCTAATATTTCACCCGTATTGATTTTCTCTTCGCGCTAAGAAGTAAACAGGTGAGAAGCGTATACACTTAGGGCATAAATAAGTGGAATTCTGTTTTGATAATTCACAAAATGAAACATATAATTGGAAGTAAATTCTGTCGAGTCACTCCACCAATAATCAATTCTAGCAGACTTTCGAGTGGCTGTCGCTCGTATGTTTGAGTCTTCGACCAATTGAAACCGACTTTAACTAACAGTTGTCTTCTTGTTCCAGAGATCCGAAAACGTTGACTTATCCCTGAGCATACCACAGACAAACTTCCAATCGAACGGCTACGACATGGGCGACCAGGTAAGTTCTGTTCTTCTGCCGAAGATGCAGGTATATGCGTATGCACACGTGCGGAAGTGGGACGGCCATCTTGAGTGCTGTTAGAGAGATATGAAAGTCACCTTGGTAATGGCCGTTGAACTGCGTCTCTCCATCATATCAATCATAAAAGGCCGTTGCTTGCTGCAGCAACAAACCGACGCGTCCTAAATTGAATTCCACAAGATATTTAATAATAAACCGGAAAAAATGTCCCAAGTTTTGTCGTCTTGTTCTTTTCGGCAACTTGTGCGGTCCCTTTGGTTGGCGGCGGCGGCGACGCCAGCGCCGCTGCGGTGACCTACGGAACCAACTTTAATAGAGTCGAGCTGAATACCCGTTGGATGTAATTTATTTGGCAGGGAAGAAATATGGGCTATAACTTTGTATGAAAATAAAGAAGAATTATATGAACATTATAAATCAGCTTTTGCTCATTTTTATTGGGCGTGCCGAATTTATCGCAGGTTTTCGTAATTGTTAAAGGCAATAGTCATACGCCCTTACTTTTATTTTCACGCGTCATCGGCTACCGATCGATAGCGACCGCTTAATACTCGGATCCGATATGATTATTCACTTTTACGCGACGAGGGAAGTTGTCCGGCCGAGAACCATCTCACACTTTTTTTACTACCGGGTTTACACGGTTCGCGTTTTTTAACGTATTATCCAGGATTATTCACTTATAAGAATAACCACGTGGATACAAATACAGCATGAAACAGTAGTACCTACTAAATTTATCAATATTTCCCTAAGATTTTTGACAGTTAATAGTGATAGTGCACTAGTCACAAATAATAATGATATTGGCACTAGATTTTCCATCAAAATATTACTGTTAAAATTTTACTTGTCGCCAATTTAGCAAATCGTCTAAAAATAGTAGACATAAAATGTTCTTTGGACGTAAAACATGTGAGATTGGATTCATATATCAAATAATAGAGTAGTATTAGATATGTGACTGATTGCATGGGTTTCGTAAAAACAAAATAAGTTGACAGTGGCTCTTCAAATTATAAACGCAAAAACTGTTCCCAAGTATAATACATACTTATATAATGTTCGAATATTTTCCATTTTAAAATACGAAGTTTGAAGTTGGTTGATCAATTAAGAAAAATTGCCCAACACAAAAAAATATTTCATAACGGCGCTTTGATTAATAGACTTTGTAACATGATTTTATATATTGTCTATTAACATGTGATAAAGAACAAACCTAAGAGATTTAGGTCTAAAGTAGTATATATCCACTCCTTAACAAAATACTGCAATTGACCTAAAAGGAAATAATACTCATCTGATCTGATCACTTTATCTGATATCAATAAGGGCGGGTGGATTCTCTGGAGGGTTGTTTGCTCCCCCACCCATCCATTGACAACTTAGACTTTTTCCATATAAAGGATCTAGCCATCGGAGAATGCACCCCATCTTCTATTTTACAAGACAAAATAGTCTAGAACTAAAAAGACACAGAAGCTCAAGAGCATGTAGCCCTTTTTTTAGTTTCTTATTACATATATATGTTTCTACGGTACAAACACGATTTTTTGGAGCATACCAGCTCAATGGAAACTTATGGAGAAGTTATGAGTTCCGAAGAAGCATGAAACCAAGAACAGCTACTTGAGAGATCTTGTGATCGGCCATAGCTCCGATAAACTCTCATAAACCGTAATTTCAATCGACAATGAAATTTTATAGTGTGGTTACTTGGATTTGCGTAACTGACGTTCTAAAATATATATTTTATGAGCTCACAATTAGAGAAATAGAAATAAGGAATTTCCACATAACTAACTACACTAGATACAAAAAACAGAATAAGATCTAAATGCGCATGCGCCACCACGACTTACCATTAAGGCGCGCCTGCACAAAATACTGCCGCTAAAGACGCGACTACAAGTAAAACTTTAACAGTAATCGAAATGAGACATATACATATACATATATGAGAGTATAACTTATGTACAGTTTTCTAAATCTAAATTAAAACTTGAACTCGACTCGTGCTATCTCTCAATTTAGACTTACGTAAAGTAGGTATAACTTTTTTGTGTGCTTTGTAAAACCACAAATACATAATATCTTACTAAACTTCATAAACTATGCTTCTTCCTCTTTTAAACTGGAACTTTTTTACATTTCTTTCGCCAGATTTTTTCTTTTTCCTTCCACTTTTTTCTTGGTCTACCTTGCTTTCGCTTCCCAACTTCCTTCGCTTCATCTATTTACGCAACTATTTTTTCCTTATCACTTCTTATTACATGTCCGAGCCATCTAGGTCTATCTTTAACTTCTCTGAATGTTTGGTTTCTGATTTTATCTCTTCTTGTTTTTCGAGAATTTCATACTTGTTCTAGTTCATTGTCTACTTTTCCTTTTTTTTTTTATTATTTTAATTGTCGTATTTTTAATTTTCAATTAATCAATACGATATAAACCTACGTTTTTTTTTTTTTTGTAATTGTTTTTCTGTCTTTCCGAGTACATATTACCAGGTCATCGGCGTAGCATAATTCGGTTAATTTTAGCCAGAAATCATATCATATGTCTGTTGAAATTTATGGTGTTTGTAGATTCAAGGAATTCGTTCAAAAACTTCAGAATTGTAACATTTGACGCTTTCTCTTGTGATTTTTATCGTTACCCATTTCTCACATTTCTTACGTTTCTCAGTTCTTAAGTTTTCCATTTCACATATTTTCCATTTATCGCGTCTCTCAATTCTTTTGTTTCCCATTTTTCACGTTTATCATTTCCTACATTTCGCGTTTCTTCAGATTTCTCGCATTTCTTATTTCTCATTTCACAAGTTTGTCGGTTCTCCCATTTCTAATTTCTCATGTTTTCCCATTTCTTCTCTTTGTGTCATTCCTTTCATTTATAATTCCTTGTCCTATCTTATTTCTGATTTCTTCCAATTTCATGTTTCTCACGTCTTGCGTTTCTCACGTTTTTCATTTCTTCTCATTTCTGATTTATTTTCATTTCATGTTTCTCACATTTTGCATTTCTCCCATTTCTCATTTTTTCTTCTCAGATCTCATTTTTCCTCATTTCACTTTTCTAATTCCGCATTTCTCATTTCGTATTTTCTATTTCTAATATTTTTCTCACTTCTCACCTTTCCTATTTCTCACATTTCCCGCGGTTTCGCATTTCTCACCTTTCTCATTTCTTCACATTTCTCATTTGTCATTTCTTATGTTTCTCATCGCTCACGTTTCTCATTTCTTCTCGTATTGCCATTTTTGTCATTTTTCATTTCATGTTACTCACGTTTTGTCATTTCTAATTTCTCATTTCTTCCCATTTCGTATTTCTAATTTTTTCGTCTATTTTGTTCCTTCTGATGTCTCATTTTTCCCCATTTCTCACATTTCGCATTTCTCACTTTTGTCATTTCCTCTCATTTCTCATTTTATGTTTCCCACATACATTATTTCTTACGTTTTTCATTTACCAAGTTCCCATTTCTCATGTTTCCCATCTCACGTTTCTCATTTCTTCTCATCTTGTCATTTCTTCTCTTTTCTCATTTCTTATCATTTGCGATTTCTTTTCATTTTTCATTTCATGTTACTTACGTTTTGTCATTTCTAATTTCTCATTTCTTCCCCTTTCGCATTTCTAATTTTTTCGTATATGGCGTTTGTTCTAATGTCGCATTTTTCCTCATTTCTCACGTTCATCACTTCTCAAATTTTGCATTTCTCCCCCCTTTTGTCTTTTCTTCTCATTTCTTATTTTATGTTTCTCACATTTCTTATTTCCTCCGTTTTTCGTTTAACATATTTCTTCTCATATCTCATATTTCTAACATTTTTCTCATTTCTCACCTTCTCTATTTCTCACATTTCTCATTTCTTCACATTTCTTACGTTTCGCATCTCATCGCTCACGTTTCTTATCCCTCACGTTTCTCATTTGTTCTAGTATTGCCATTTTTGTCATTTCTCATTTCATGTTACTCACGTTTTGTCATTTCTAATTTCTCATTTCTTCCCATTTCGCATTTATAATTTTTTCGTCTATCTTGTTCCTTCTGATGTCTCATTTTTCCTCATTTCTCACATTTCCCATTTCTCACGTTCATCACTTCTCACATTTCGCATTTCTCACTTTTGTCATTTGATCTCATTTCTCATTTTATGTTTCTTACATTTCTTATTTCTTACGTTTTTCATTTACCAAGTTTTCTCATCTTGTCATTTCTTCTCGTTTTTCATTTCTTATCATTTGCGATTTCTTTTCGTTTTTCATCTCATGTTACCACGTTTTGTCATTTCTTCACATTTCTCATTTTATGTTTCACACTTCTCAGTACTCACGTTTCTCATGCCTCATGTTTCTCATTTCTCACGTTTCTCATCCCTCATGTTTCTCATCTCTCACGTTTCTCATTTCTTCTCGTATTGCCATTTTTGTCATTTCTCATTTCATGGTACTCAGTTTTGTCATCATTTCTCGCTTTTCTCATTTTTCACATTTCGCATTTCTCACTTTTATCATTTCCTCTCATTCCTCATTTTATGTTTCTCACATTTCTTATTTCTTCTCGTTTTGTGATTTCTTTTCATTTATCATTTCATGTTTCTTACGTTGGTCATGCCTCGTGTTTCTAATTTCTCACGTTTCTTATTTCTTCCCATATCTCATTTTTCCTCATTTCTCACATTGCCCATTTCTCATTTCGCGTTTCTAATTCCACATTTCATATTTCTAAAATTTCTTACGTTTTCAGTTTCTCACGTTTTTCATTTCTTCTGATTGCTCATTTTTTGCATATCTCACACTTCGCATTTCTTACATTTCCCATTTCTCACTTCTTACCTTTACATAATTTTCTTGTAGTGTTCTTCATGTCTTCTCTACTTATTCTATGGAACGTTTTCTCCATGTCTAAGAAACACGCATGTATTTAGTTTTATTTACTTTCTCCAATATTTATCTAAGTATAAATATGTAATTACTTGGTCCTCTCTTTCTTCTGAATCCGCTATAGCTTTCGTCCGGTGTGTGTTCCAATTTTTCGATTAATTTGTTCTCTGAAATCCTGGCATATATTTTTCTCAATGCTCTTCCTAAAATTATTCCTCTAAAGTTTATAGTCACTGCTATTTTACTTTTTTGCCTGATTAATACTGTCAAGGAGTTCTTTTTCTCTTTCCCCATTCGTTATTACGATGGTTATTTCGTTGTGTCCTGGTATTTTTCTATTCATCATTTTGTATGTTGCTTCTTTCAGCTCATTTGTCGTTATACATATTTTACTGACATTTTTGACATAACCTGAGTTGTGTTCTGATAATTTTCTTGTTCCGTTCCACTCCGTATATACCATTAAACACTCAATTCACTTTGATATACATTTCATATAATCATTCCTCTCTCGTTTATAGACATTTCATACGCCTAGTTTCGGCGACGAAGACTTCGACATTCCCGCGATCAACCCCCAGCAGCAACAGCAGCAGCAGCAAGTCAGCACGGAGCAGCAGCATTACCAGCAGCAGCCGATGCAAGGCATGCAGCAGATGAACCAACAAATGAACCAACAGCAGGACGGCGGCATGGGCATGCACGACCCCACAGGGGGGTACCAGCAGCCGCTGTACTTGTCAGGTCCCGATCACGGGATGGTCAATCCGTCCTACCACAGTCCACAACCCAACTACTCGATGAGTCCTAGCCAGCAGCAACAGCACAACAATCAACTACTGATGATACAGCAACAGCAGCAGCATCAGCAAATGATGATGAGTCACGGACAGCCGCCTCCAGGCGCGATGAATCAGTACGGGACGTCGCCGCAACACCCCCAAGGGAGGGGGAACAGCCCGCCGGCGCCGCCGGGGCAAGAACCCACCACCAGCGAGGACAGCGACGACAGCACGCCGCATCCCGCTATGGTAAGGGTTTTTCTGGCTCTATGCGTAACGTAACTTAAGTAAAACGTGTTTATTTGCTCACTTTATATACAGTGTCATCAAATTATTATTGAAAATTACGGTGTTTAAATTTGCCGGTCGTGTTTACAGTAAACGCCACTTTATCCTCAATTTAATAATAATTGCATTTACATAACTGTATTGCCTGCGTCGACAAGGCGGCAAAGGTCCCCCTGTGTGGATAATCTGTACACTGGAAATTAAAACTATTTAGTGTACAATTTATTTATGTCAATGATTTCGTGATAACTTTAATTTCGTGCTATTTCAATTTCGAAGTCACGTCTGTAATTCCAGTTATTTACTCGATTCCATTTTTATAATAATAGGAAGTAATAAGACTAATAATAGTGATAGTATTAAGGAATAATAACGTGAAATGTATTCTTGAAATTACAGGATTTCTAATCTCAATAATGGTGTCGTGATGATACCTGTTTCGAAAAATGCGTCATCAGCATCTTGCGATTCAGTTGCTGATTGCTGTTAACGCCCTGATAATACAAAATGTACAAACAATAAAATTAAGTGTTATGGCCTAGCGATACCTTGATATGGCCATTAACTTACCAGTTTATAGCATCGATAGGATCTCAGATGCAACAAAATAAACCTTGAGAACCATGGTCAAAGTAAAGTTCAGTTTTGGTAAATAGGCAACTTGTGCTACGTCAAATTGACAGCTTAGATGGGACAATAGTCAGACAACCCCCTGCTATGTAATCCGCTTAGATAATTACTCGGAGTGCAAATTGGAATTGAATGGTTCATTTTCCCATTCCTATTCCAAACATCAGTAAATATTACAGTATAATATTATTACGAAATAAACTCATACGTCGTCCCGGTATGACGCCTATGACGCCGATGACGGAGAAAAGTCCCAATGGCGAACTCCAGAACAACCTCGAAGGCGGCGTTCGCGAACTCTCTAGAAGAACGTATCATGGTTTAAAGAGGGACCACCGTCGGAAACGAGCAGTCGAGTCCAGTCAACGAGAGAATTCAACTCTAGTCAAATCCATTCCAGTCGAGTCGGAATTATTCTATACATAATCGCTGTATAGTTGTGTAAAATAGTATTACTGAGAAATGAATTGTGGAGTTTCATTCACGCTGATTTAAATACCCGTAAATCGTAACAATATGTTACTGTATTGTACTTTCCTAGGAAACTGTAAAAAGTTTAAAAATTATAACTTAATCTCTAGAATACAAACTTTATTAAGAAGTATTTTTTCTTGAAAATACAATAAATAATAAAAACAAACATAAAAAATTGAGGCCCCCGAGAAGGTTTCACATTCTTAAAAAGTAGACATTTGGGGCCCCCGAGAAGATTTCATATTCTTAAAAAAGACATTTGACGCCCCCGAGAAGGTTTTACATTTTTAAAAAAGACAGTTGGAACCTCCGAGAAGATTAAAAAAAAGACATTTGGGGCCCCCCCGAAGGTTTCACATTCTAAAAACAACCATTTGGCGCCCCCGAGAAGGTTTTACATTTAAAAATGACAATTTGACCCCCGAGAAGGTTTCACATTAAAAAAAAAAATACATTTGGAGCCCCCGAGAAAGTTTGAAGGTTTTACATTAAAAGAAAAAACAGTTGGGACCTCCGAGAAGGTTTCACATTAAAAAGAAAAGACATTTGGCGCCTCCGAGAAGGTTTTACATTTTTAAAAAAGACAATTGGGAACCCCGAGAAGGTTTCACATTCTTAAAAAAAGAGGTTTGAGGCCCCCGAGAAAGTTTTACATTTTTAAAAAAGACAGTTGGGGCTTTCGAGAAGGTTTCACATTTAAAAACATACAGTTGGAACCCCCGACAAGGTTTCAGATTAAAAAAAAGACATTTGAGGCCCCCGAGAAGGTTTCACATTCTAAAAAAAAAAAAACATTTGGCGCCCCCGCGAAGGTTTTACATTTAAAAATGACAATTGGGACCCCCGAGAAGGTTTCACAAAAAAAAATTCATTTGGGGCCCCCGAGAAGGTTTGAAGGTTTTACATTAAAAGAAAAAGAGAAGGTTTCACATTAAAAAAAAAGCCATTTGGCGCCCCCGAGAAGGTTTTACATTTTTAAAAAAGACAATTGGGACCCCCGAGAAGGTTTCACATTCTTAAAAAAAGGGGTTTGACGCCCCCGAGAAGGTTTTACATTTTTAAAAAAGACAGTTGGGGCTCCCGAGAAGGTTTCACATTTAAAAAAATACAGTTGGACCCCCGACGAGGTTTCAGATTAAAAAAAAGACATTTGAGGCCCCCGAGAAAGTTTCACATTCTAAAAAAAAAACATTTGACGCCCCCGAGAAGGTTTTACATTTAAAAATGACAATTAGGACCCCCGAGAAGATTTGAAGGTTTTACATTAAAAGAAAAATCAGTTGGGACTTCCGAGAAGGTTTCACATTAAAAAAAAAGACATTTGGCGCCCCCGAGAAGGTTTTACATTTTTAGAAAAGACAATTGGGACCCCCGAGAAGGTTTCACATTCTTAAAAAAAAGAGGTTTGACGCCCCCGAGAAGGTTTTACATTTTTAAAAAAGACAGTTGGGGCTCCCGAGAAGGTTTCACATTTAAAAAAATACAGTTGGAACCCCCGACAAGGTTTCAGATTAAAAAAAAAGACATTTGAGGCCCCCGAGAAGGTTTCACATTCTAAAAAAGAAAACATTTCGCGTCCCCGAGAAGGTTTTACATTTAAAAATGACAATTGGGACCCCCCAGAAGGTTTCACATTAAAAAAAAATACATTTGGGGCCCCTGAGAAGGTTTGAAGGTTTTACATTAAAAGAAAAAACAGTTGTACCTCCGAGAAGGTTTCACATTAAAAAGAAAAGACATTTGGCGCCCCCGAGAAGGTTTTACATTTTTAAATAAAGGAGAGTGCATTCTCAACTTTCCAGAAAGTAGGGTAATTTCCTCAATAAAAAATTTATTATGACGTCATAAACATAGATAATTCTTACTGCCCATTCACAATGAACATAAGACATAAGAACGAGCGCATAACATAATTTACGTTTTTGGTTTGTGTCTGGCTTATGCTTATCTACGTTCACAGTGGACACAGTGAACTCTGTAAGAATTGTTAAACTGCGCAAACGCAGAACGGAATAACTCCTGGCTAAACATAGAAACGGCTAACCTCAAACTGAGTCAATCAAAATATCTAACCTACAATTTCATACGATATTCGAACTTGACAACTCGCAGTACAGAACAGACTAGCAGTGTGAGGCTTTGATTATAATTTATATAATATAATCAAAGGTGTGAAGTACCAAGTGCCAAATGTCAAAGGGAATTCAATAGCAGCATTCAAAAGTCCCTAGATTTTAACATAATTTTGACATAATTCGTGCACAAAGTTGAACTTGTTTCAACTTTGTGTACGCACACAAGGATTACATAAAACGTTCATAAGCATAAGAATTACGTTCGTCCACTGTGAACAGGGGTACACGTTTTCCATCGTTTCAACTTTATGTATTTATGTAAGCTTTATGTACTTGTTATGCCTTATGTCCATTGTGAATGGGCAGTTAATGCGAGAGAGTGTTATTATACCGTGTATTATGTTTTTGCAAAAATTTAGACGACTAGGGAAAAACTCAAAGCGGATTCGTACACCACACAAGTCTATATTGATGTATAACAATTAAATTAAATAAACCTAGAATTCTTTGAAATGACGTCATCAAATTATTGGTGGGGATGATTAGCAAAATTTTAGTTAGTATTTAACCATCTACATGATATTTCTAATATACGTACAAAATTTGACAACAATCAGTCCAGCAATTTCGGAGATTACCTATATATCTAATAAAAATGGATACAGACACCAGACAGACAGACGGACGGACGGAAACGGGAGACTACTTTTTTCGTACTCTCGGGGGTCATGAAACGTCGAGAAAATATAAAAGCGGCATTCGTCCGATGTACTCGATTACGCTCGGGAAGTAAAAACGGCAGTAACGACAATTAATTTCCTGCGAAGAGACAAAGTTGCAAAAGAATTTTTATATAAAGCATACATTATAATTTTGTTGATCACAATTGAGTTTCTATAGTCGAAAATTACATAAGTATCATTTTTATCGTAAATGAGGCTTTGATATCACCGAAAAAGTAATAGCTCTTGAGGCAAAAATTCAGCTATATTTTGTAACAACAAATACATTCTTTATCTGCTAATTTATCCAGACTTCGTGTAATAAGAAGGTAGAGTTTGTGGAGTTATTTATTCTTTAATCGTTATTTGGTTAGTTGAAACTATAAACGGATTAAAATTTTTGGAACGTTTATGAAATAATATACTCCTGCACTTGTGGTTTATGAATCCGCCTTGACTTTTAATCAGAATTACATTACAAAACTATTTTGCCAAATTTACATCAGGTTACATATAAACGATATTTCGCGTATATAGAAACAAGCAGTTTGTGGCAGTATCATCTAAGACTAAGATACAAAGGTTATCACAAAAAAAATTAAATATCACAAACTCAAATTTTATAATTTTTCAAAGAAGTCTGATTTGTTAGATTGTACTTCAGGGGCGAGGAAAGTTCGCTCGAAATAAGTTTTGACTAATCTAATTTGTCTAATCAGCGCCACCAAAAATGGGATGACGTCTTCTCCAAAATTTACAATAGGAGATATTGTTTAAATTTTATAAAATAACACATCTACACTTGTGTTTTATGAATCCGTGTTGAGTTTTTTACCTTTGACATCCAGATGTTTGACAAAAAAAAAACTAAAATTGTATACCAACATTTTGCAACTTAACTTTGAAACTGCAAAACCGAATACTCTGTCTGAAATCTTGTAGACGTTTTAAGGTTAACCTAAGCATGATAAATCGTTAATTAAATTTGTCCATTTATCTCCTCCTAAAAAATTGATGACGTGTTCTCAAAATTTTGCCGACTATTGTTGAATTATATGCAAATCTTCTTGATCGTAGAGTAGCAAACAACTGACCCTTGCCTCTCAGCTAGTTTGCGTGCAACTGTCCTGAGAAATTAGGACTAGCTGCCTACAGATTTTTTTGACCGCGGCGCGCAACTAACCGATGCCCCTAAGTTGTAAGCTATAGGTACAGTAAAAGTTGTAATTATTATCTATAGTAAAATTCTTTTAATTTTGGCAACTTGTTGTAAAACTGTACCAATTAAATAAGTAAGACGCACTGTAAAGAATACCCGTACTTCTTAGCATTTTGGGGACGAAGACGTATACTGCGTAAATACAGTATGTCGACCGAAGACAGAAACAGAAGCATATTGTTTTACAACACCTTGTCAAATTTAAAAGAATTCTACCAGAGTCGAACGGCATTTTACGCCGACAATGATGCGACGGAAAAAGTGAGCAACGAGAAAGTTGGTTGTCTTGCAAGCTAATTTTATTTTAATCAATTTCAGTGAGTTCGAAAAAATTGATCAGTGTTTTTCTTTTCAGATGACGGCGATGAAGAGGCCGTCGCCCGAACCCGCGGACCAAGCGTTAACGAAAACGCAGAAAAAGCCCAAAGTCCAGAAGAAGAAAAAGAAGCGGGACCCTAACGAGCCCCAAAAGTGAGTTATAGTCGTATTTGTGTATCTAACGTTTAACCGAGCCATTTATTCGTCCGGCAAGCGTTAGCAGTGCGGTGCCGTGGCCATTTGTTATCTATGTCTAATTGATATTCATCATTTATTTGTTTAATGATCATGTTCGATTAATGAAACCACAGCCAATTTCGCACGGGTTCATTATTAATCAACAAGTAGCTGTTGTGTAGCGTTTGTTAACGTTAATAGTCTGTCGGATTTCGGCGGAAATAATAAAACGAAAAAACACGAGAGCTTTGCAAATTTCAGCGTTTTCAGCCACTTAAGAGATAAGCGCCTCGTAACCGCAAGGTTCGAAATTGAATCGTCGTTTTAATGGCGCCGTTTTGCTTAAGTTCAATTAAGTCGCGGGAATATAGTGGTAATAGTAATAAAGTGCCGCGGGGTCACTTTTGACAGTAACTGCAACTTAAGTTCGATGAAATTCCACTTTATTCGATGCGGAATTTTCAGCAATTAATGCCGAACTAAATTCGTATTTTAAATACTGGAACCTCATTTAATATAAACACCCAAGCGATGTTTCAGCGGACGCATACAGAACGGCTACATTTTAAAAACCCCAAGTTTTACGACCTATAAAATAATATATATCTCAAACGGTGTAGTTCTCAAGAAACAGCCCCCGAAATCCAGGACGGAACGAGCGTAGAATAATAGAATTAAGAAGAAATTCTGTCGCTAAAAGGGTCTTTTGATCAAATCGTAATTTAATTTCGGCCGATCTTTATGAACAACAACAAATTATCTACATTCCTGAGAGTTTTCGGGAGATTATCCCTGAGGGGAGACGCAGAACGGCTGAAACTTTCGCTGAGGTAGCAACAAATAAGAAATTTAATCCGTCCAAGTCCATAAAAATCGGGACGCTTCGGCAGTAAAACGTAAAAAGTTTCACCCCAGTCCACGAAATGTTTATCTTTATTTGTGCGTCGGCCCCCGGAAAAATGTTGATTTTAAAAATCCGGCTCCACCGAAATCCAGAATTCATTTAGATTATTGCGGGGAGGGTTATTCAGATTTCGATGATTCGAAGAGTTTCGAATGAAATCTCTCGTTAATAAAATGTGGAGGGAGGACTGATGACGGTATTAATAATGACGGCCTATATCCGCTTACGCCGGAACTGACGTCAAACTCGACATGGGGCCGCAGATTTTTAATTTCTCTTCGGACGTTTTATAATTGCTTTGCATCCAGAAATAGACTCGAGTACAACCTGCAATTTTCTGTAGAAGGTAGATTTATAATTTTATTGTGGTACAGTGAATGTTTATTTATTTTTACTTTACGGGCGTAAGCTAAGGAAGTATTGTAATCGACTCCCTACTCTTGTGTTTTCTCGAACTTTCATGACCTCTAGAGTACGAAGAAATAGGTCTCCCGTTTCCGTCTGACTACTGTATATTAAGAATATCATGTAAATTGTAAAACGTCAACCAAAAATTGTATTTTTTTTTTATTTTTATAAAATAAGATGCTCCTTCATTTATTTGTGGTGAATGAATCCCTGTTGAGTTTACACCCTACACATTCGGATTTTTTGGAAAAAAAAAAACAAAATGGTATAACATTTTGCGATTTAACTTTGAAACTACAAAACCGAATGCTCTGAAATCTTGCAAATGTTTTAAGGTTATCGTAAGCATGGTAAATGGTTAACCAAAATTGGGGCGTGTATAAGTAGGACTTAATCTCTGGCGTAGTTTTTTTTTTGAAGAACACATTACTTAAGAACATGTTTCACTTGGTAATTTCTTGTGGAAAAACAAAGATTTTACAATTAAACTCCGCCTCCTGGCTCAAGACGAATAAAAAAATCATCACATTTGAGATGTGGGTGGGGCTTATGTTTTGACTTTTTTTTCTTAATATACGTAATCTTCTTTCCATAGCATTCTGTCAATAAAACAATACTTAAAACACAATTCTAACCTCAAATTTACCATTTGTCGTTTTAAGTATTTTATTGCTGAAAGAAGACTACATACATTACGAAAAGAAAGTCAGTGGCTAAGCCCCACCCACCCGCCCCATTTAACTGTGAATATTTTTTTATTGGTCGTGAGACGGGGGCGGAGCTTCATTGCAAAATTTATATTTCTCTCCAAAAACTTACCAAGTGAAAGATGTTTTAAGTATCGTGAAGTTGAAAGAAAATTATAGATATCTTTTAAGAAAAAGCAACCGAAAATTATGCCCCGCCCGCCCGCCCCAATCTCAGTTATGATGAATTTTATTCGTTGTGAGACCAAGAAGGCGGAGCCTAACCGCAAAGTCCATATTTCTGTACAAGAAAGTACGGAGTGAAACGTGTTTGACGTATTATCGCATTGTTTTGAAAAAAAAAACAAAAATAAAACTACTTTCCTGCGTAAATCGGTAGATTTGGCAACTCCGCTCTCTGCAGTGTTGTTTTTGACGCGCCGTTCGACCGCGCTTAATCATTGGACGTATAGAGTTTTCTATCAATAACGCGATACTTGAAACATAATTCTAACCTCAAATTTACCATTTGTAATTTTAAGTATTTTATTGCAGAAAGAAGACTACGTATATTACGAAAAGAAAGTCAATGGATAAGCCCCACCTACCCGCTCCATTTAAACTGTGATTAATTTTTTTTATTTGTCGTGAGACGGGGGCGGAGCTTTATATTTCTCTCCAAAAAAAATAGCAAGTGAAAGATGTTTTAAGTATCATGTTGTTGAAATAAGATTATAGACATCTAATAAGAAAAGGCAACTGAAAATTATGCCCCACTCACCCGCCCCGATCGCAATTGTGATGATTTTTTTATTGGTTGGGAGACCGGGAGGGCGGAGCGTAACCGCAAAGGCTGTACAAAAAAGTACGAAGTGAAACGTGTTTGAAGTATTATCGTATTGTTTTGAAAAAAAATATATAGGGAATGAAGAGAAAAAACAAACAAAAATAAAACGTTACTTTCCTGCGTAAATCAGTAGATCTGGCAACTCCGCTCTCTGCAGTGTTGTTTTTTACGCACCGCTCGCCCGCGATTGTGGACCAGAAGTTCTGAATTATAAATAACTTGTCGAATTATGAGATTCTCATATAACTGTTTTGGAAATGCATATATATCAATTTTGGCATACTATATATAATATCAAACATGATTTTCCAATTTTTAAATTTTTTAGTTGTGCAATTTTTGGATTTCTCAATTATCCAATTTGTTTAAATTTTAATATTTCGTTTTTTAGATTTTTCGTAGTTTTCATTATATATTTTTGCGTCTTTTAATTTTTGGTTTTTCAGTTGTACAAATTTGATTCAAAAAGTTGAAAAATCGGAAAAATTGAAAAACCGAAAGAACCAAAAATTGGAAAATAAAACGAATTGGATTAACAGATCGGAAAATCAAAAAATTGTAAAATCGAGGTATTATAGAATCGCCAAAATTGTAAAGTCGGAAAACTGTAACATTAAAGATGGAAAAATTCTAACATTCTAAAAAGGGGAAAATCTTTAAAATTGTAAGTATTATTTTTATTAGATACATGTTTAGTGAAAACTAGAAATATTGCAAATCGAAAATTGAAGAAACGAACAATTGAAAAATCGAAGAAACTAAAAAATCTAAAAACGGAAAAACGAAAACTTAAGTCTAAAAATTGAAAAATCAAAAAGCTGAAAAATACAAAAATTAAAAAAATTCACATTGAGAAAAAGAAAAGTTAGAAAATCAGAACTTTGAAAAATCTAAAAATTGAAACAATAAAGAAAGCAAAAAACCTAAATGAAAAATTGGAAATAAAAAAATTGAAAAATGGCAAAATTAAAAATTAAAACTCGTGAAATTGCAAATCGAAAAATTGCAAAATCTGAAAACTGAAACATCCAAAAGTTGAAAATCGGGAAACTGAAAAATTTAAAAATGAAAGCCCGAAGAGACGCATAACGTAAAACTAATGAAATAAAAAAATAAAAAATTGAAAAGGTGAAAAATAAAAAAAAAACTGAAATTGAAAAAACAAAAAATTATACAGTTTGAGCATTTAAAAATCGGAAAGTGTAAAAATAAAGAAAAGAAAAAACCGAAACGAAAAATTGTAAATCGAAAATTTGAATAAATGAAAGATTAAAGAATTACAAAATTGCAAACTTTAAAAACAAGAAAAATGAAAAATTGAAAAACAAAAAATCGAAAAATTGCAAAATCTAAAAATGGAAAAAGTCAAAAGTTGGAAAATTGAAAATCTGAAGAAACAAAAAAATGAAAAATTGAAAAATTCAAACCAAAAAATCTGCGGGAGTGTTATTTACGTTCCTGGTTGTTACATTATAGATGTTATCAGAAAACAAAAATCGCAAAATTTTTTATAATTTTTCAAAGAAGCGGAATTTATTGGGCTTTACTTCAGGTAGGAGGGAAGTTCTGTCGAAATAACCTTCGACCAATTTTTTTTTACTTTTTCGTTCTCTTTAAACTTAAGTTTCGAAGTGTACGCTTTGTATTTTCCTTGATCGATTTGTTGTACAGTTTGTAACCGCATTAAAGTTTTATAGTTTGATTTGGATCCTCCTTTTAACGATGTCCACATAAACACTGTCCAATAAATCAACAATCCACGTTTGTTCATGGTGTCGCTAATTTAATCAAACTTTTAATCTCTAACGAACTCTTCCTAAATACAACCCCTTTTACGAAAATTTCGACGCAGCACGCGTCATCTGTCACCGATTGACGAGGATCTTAACCAGAGAGTTTGTCGAGCATTATTGGCTTAAATGCCACTATCAGACTATAAAATTTTATTACAGTACGAGGAATATTTTTGAACAACAAACTGTTCATCGATCTCCATTGAAAAAGCGCCATTTATTTTATGTACGCAGTGTGAAAAATAAATGAAGAGAAAAAGTATACACGCTGCGACTCCTGGCCGTGACGTTCATACTTGTAACATAGTATATTGGTATCAATACTCCCCACACCCCTCTTCCGCCCCATCACGGGGTTCCGCATGTGAAGGAAGACCTTATCGATTTTCGCGGCTGCTATTAAATCGTATTAAAATGTTGAGAATGCCATTTACCCAGCTGCATAACAGAAAGGAAGACGTTATATGGCCCATAAAGCTAACATTCACCGTGCGCGCAAGTTGTAACAGCAGATTTATTGTTGCAATTTTACTTACTATGTAGTGGCTCGGCCCGATTCGGAACTATCCATATATGATTAATTTTCATTGCTACTTTTCGGATTTTATCTTTACTTTTATTTTTATTGCAGACCCGTTTCGGCGTACGCCTTGTTCTTCCGTGATACGCAAGCAGCCATCAAGGGACAAAATCCCAATGCCAGTTTTGGCGAAGTCTCGAAAATCGTCGCTTCCATGTGGGACGCTTTAGATTCGGAACACAAGAATGTAAGTTTAATTTTTCTGTTTGTACGAACTGCTGTTTGAGTGAATTAAGGAGATGGCGTAATTAAGAGCAATGTTCGCGGGATGAATTGCCGACATTAGTCAGTCGGTAACGACGTGGCCCAGAATTCGGACTACAATGCCAACAAGGAACAAATATTTTTGTTATTTGTTCAAACACGGTTTGTAGTGTTATTAGTTACCATCGAGCTATTAATTATAACAGTAGATGATTAATGTTTTATTGCACTTGTTTATTACAGAGTTATTTGTTACGCTGGAATTAAAAATAGCCAATAAACTAGTAGGAAATGTGTCGGTTATACTTACAATTTTATAAACCGACACTACAGATTTGAAATATTTTTGTGGTGCAAGTGACTGACTTTCTAACAAAAACAAGAAATTATTTGCTACCGGTACCCGTCTATTTATAACTGCCTGGTACCATTGTGGTGACATTTTTTCTCAAACTTCTTTTTCTAAATAGTTTATAGAGTAACTAAGGCGAGTGTTGTCGAAATTTTCAGTGTTAATTTCATCAAAACTGACATCACTAAAGTGTGCTGTTTTCGAAATAGTGACACAGCTGCACTGAGGGCAGATGTGATCCATCTCCACCACAACGCAGGCCGATGCGAAACAGTTTGAAGCAGTTTCGTTTGTGACGTCATTTTTTATTATCTGAAGCTAGACAAAAAATTACACAATCTATTATTACACTTTTAATATTTTAGCTACGATAATAATTAAAGACATAGAATTCGGAAATTGCAGCACATTGGTCATTTTTGAAAATACCAGGCAGTAATGCTTTGAAAGACAAGGTGTCGTTACACAACAGCCCACGCCTGTAAAAAGTGTGAACTGTGTTTAACCGACCTGAAGTGTTAATTAGTTAAGATTGATGGAGTGTTTTCTAAATTTTAGTAACCCTACGTTTGTTTCGGGGGAATTCTATTACGTTTTATAGCCAATCAGCGTGATTGCGTTTAATTAAGAGTTGATAAAAAATACGGTTTAATGATGCCGGGGCATGGGTTAGCCACAAATTATGATTGAAACAGCCCTCTTAAGTCGCATGTATATACATAAAATCTTTTATGGTCGAAATATAAATCTTGAATTAATCATAGCGATGACTGGAGGTTAAGTGCATACTTACGTGTTATTAACTGAATTTAAATTTTATGACTAAATTATCCGAATGATGAATAATAAATAAAATACATCATTCCATAAAATTAAATCTAAAAGCTGTTACTGGTCTCAGCACGTTATCATTACGTTTATTGTTGTTTCATAAATAGTGGCTATTATTATTTATAAAACGACAATTATTATTAATATTTCATTCATTGCCTGTAAGTATTTAGTAGTATTTAATGGCTTATAAAAGTACTTGAATTATTTAACGATTGCTCCGACGATTACGTCCTATAAATAGCATCGCGTGCACCCGTTGCGTTAGCAACGGTTTTTGACATTGACATCCACAAACAAGACTCGCACGTGCGAGAAATAGGTTAGGTGTCTCGATTGTAAACTCCTCCTTCACGCACCGGCAGTGACAGATACCTCTTATGTCTCTTTATAACCAATCTTTTGTGACAAGGTATACAAGAAAAAAACCGAGGCGGCCAAAAAAGAATACCTGAAAGCGCTGGCAGCTTACAGGGCTAGTTTAGTATCGAAAGGTGCCGGCGAGAACGAAGGCATGTATGGAAACTACGGCAACTATAGTGCCGGTGGCCCGCAATACGGCGGCTACACCCCCCAAGGAACCATTCCGTCACCCCCCATGTCGTCGGCAGGGGCGACGCCCCCCACACAACAGCCCCCCATAGGTAAAAAACCCATGATGACGAATATGAACCAGGCCCAGCAACAGCAGCAGCAGCAACAGCACCAAAGCATGATGCAGCCTTCAATGGGCCAAGTCCATATGCAGCACATGCAGCAGCAACAGCACAATACGTATATGCAACAGGTGAGCAGTGTTCATTTTTAAAATGGTACATCGTTTACAAAAGACTAGAAAATTCGAGGTTACAGTACTGAACCCTGAGGAATCCCAATCCTCAATTTTAACAATTATTTGTTGAATGAATGCTAAAGATAAGATTTTACCACAAGATATAACGATTCTCGACGACAAGATGATACGGTTTTTCATGTATAAAATCCTAATTATTATGTTCAATTTAACATTAAATGCGCGCATAAAGGTCTTTCATACATTTTGTGTAAATGAAATCTAAATTAAAAAACTTTTAGACACACGCTGTATATACGGTATGGCTTACTAGCTTATTTATAATTAGGGATAGAAAACAAGTTAAAGACGAAAGTTGTACAGTTTTTTGATTAATGTACCAATGGGATGACGTCATCTCCAAAATTTATTAATTTGTTTTTTTGTTTTTATTTTATAAAATAAGACACTTCTGTACTGGTGGTATATGAATCCGTGTTGAGTTTTTACCCTAAATACATCCAGAGTTTTCTTTGAAGAACACATTACTTAAGAACATGTTTCACATGGTAATTTCTTGTAAAAAAATAAGGATTTTGCAATTAAACTCCGCCTCCTGACCTAAGACGAATAAAAAAATCATAACAATTGAGATAGGGCGGGTGGGTGAGCTTTATGTTTTGACTTCTTTTTTTTTTTTAATATACGTAATCTTCTTTTCACAGCAAGAAACTTAAAACACGTTTAAAATGGTAAATTTTTGTGGATAAATTAGATTTTGCAATTAAACTCCACCCCTCGATCTGACAACGAATGAGAAATTCATCGCGATGCAGATAGGGGCGGGTGGGTGGGGCTTAATCCTGAGTTAGTTTTCTTTCAACAATACGATACTTAATACATCTTCCACGTGGTAATTTCTTGTAGAAAAATAAGGATTTTGCAATTAAACTCCGCCTCCCGGCTGAAGACGAATAAAAAAAAATATCACAATTAAGATAGGGCGGGTGGGTGGGGCTTAAGTTTTGTCTTCTTTTTTTTCTTAATATACTTATAGTCATATTTTCGCAACAAGAAACTTAAAACATGTTTACAATGGTAAATTTTTGTGGAGAAATGTGGATTTTATAATTAAGCTCCGCCCTTCCAACTGACAACAAATGAGAAGTTCATCACATATGAGTTAGGGGTGGGTGGGTGGGGCTTAATCATTGGCTGCATTTTCTTAATGTATAGAGTTTTCTACCAATAACACTATACTTAAAACATAATTCTAACCTCAAGTTTATCGTTTGTCATTTTAAGTATTTTATTACTGAAAGCAGACTACATATATTACAAAAAGAAAGTCAATGGATAAGCCCCACCCACCCGCCTCATCTAAAGTGTGATTACTTTTTTATTCGTTATGAGACGGGGGCGGAGCCTAATTGCAAAATTTATATTTCTCCAAAAAATTATGCTCCAAAACAGATCGATTTTACAATATTTCGTTTTTTAGATTTTTCGTAGTTTTCATTTTATACTTTTGCGTATTTTAATTTTTGGTTTTTCAGTTGTAGAATTTTACAATTTTTCCATTTTTTTGACTTGAAAAGTTGAAAAATTGGAAAAATTGAAAAACTGAAAGAGCCAAAAATTGCAAATCGAAGAAACGAAAAATGGAAACACTAAAAAACTAAAAATCGAAAACAATGAATCGGGAAATTGGAAAGAAGAAAAAACGAATTGGCTTGAAAAATTGGAAAACACAAACATTATAAAATTGAGAAATTATAGAATCGTCAAAATTGTAAAGTCGAAGTGGTGCTTAATCATTGGCTGCCTTTTCTTTATGTATAGAGTTTTCTAGCAATAACACGATACTTAAAACATAATTCTAACCTCAAGTTTACCATTTATCATTTTAAGTACTTTATTGCTGAAAGAAGACTAAGTATATTACGAAAAAAAAGTCAATGGATACCGCCCCATTTAAAAACTGTGATTAATTTTTTTTATTCGTCGTGAGACGGGGGCGGAGCTTAATTGCAAACTTTATATTTCTCTCCAAAAAATATCAAATAAAATATGTTTTGAGTATCGTGTTGTTGAAAGAAAATTATAGAGATCTATTAGGAAAAGGCAACCGAAAATTATGCCCCACCCACCCGCCCCTGTCTCAATTGTGATGAATTTTTTATTCGTTGTGAGACCGGGAGGGCGGAGCCTAACCGCAAAGCGTATATTTCTGTAAAAGAAAATACGGAGGAAATAGGGATTGAAGAGTTTTCACCCTCGACGTCCAGATTTTTGGGAAAAAATCAAAATTTTTAACAACATTTTGCAATTTAACTCTGATACTACAAAACTAAATGTTCTGAAATCTTTCAAACAGTTTAAGTGGAGTTATCGTAATCATGGTAAATCTTTAATCAAAATCTCAAAAAATTGATGACATCTCAAAATTTTAACGAATAAATCGTCTCTAAAATATGCAAAATACTATGACTCTATTGTAATAATACAAATATCCCGTCCAAATTGTTACATGTGGACAAAATTCGAAAACCCGCGAAAAATCTAAAAAATGATCATCAATACTAGCGATCGTCAACAAGATGGAACCCTACGTTGTGTTTTGAAATGGCGGAATGCGTTCTAATGCAAGTGGTGGACCGCAAAAATGGAAAAGTGACCTTGAATTTACTACAAAAAAAATGTGTGAATAATTTTAAGTTCTTTCAAATGCAAAATTACGAATTTCGATCACATAAACACAACTTGTTAAATGTACACAATTCTTATATCAATATTATTATGGTGGCAGATTTTTTTATACTGGCAGCCGGCACGAAAAAGAACACGTTTTGATTCAACAGTCTAAGGGACGTGGAACGAGTACCGCTACCAACTCGAGGCCCTGTCTTTGACTGTCTCTTCGCACTAATCACAGTTACGTACAACCACGCTGCGGTGCCCCCGCAAACGTCTGCCTTCTGTGTCGACTTCAGTTTTATTCCGCAACTATGCTCCATCCCCCGCGTGACAAACTACATTAGCTACCCCCAGCAGGGTTTCCTCTCCCAGCAGGACCGTATTGCAAATAAACAGTCATATAAATTAAAGGAAAATTATCATTCTGGACTTGGACCGATCTCCACTCTCGCCACACCATTTTCAATAAACCAAAATTAATGAATTAAGACTACAGCGTGAATCGAATTTCCATCAAACAAAAAAAATATTGTGGAAATCACAAGAATGCCGTTCGGTACACACGTCGCTATGAGAGGAGTGTCCGAGAATAAACGTTCCAAAATTCAAGTCATAAAACACAAACCATATTAACTCTATTGAAAATAAATAATATTTAAGTTACGAAAAACCTTAGACATTTCACAATTTAAAATATTATAAAATATTACCGCTTGCATAAAGTTGCTTATTTCTTTGTTGTCATACAAGAAAACTAAAATGTATAATTTAGAGAGATTGCGTGAAATAAAATAACAATTTTCATGATTGTTAAACTGTGTTGGAACTGAGAACAATTAAAAATCCTAACATGAACGGTTAATTACGCTTGTAGAGAAAACTGTGGTATCGCCGTCGGTACAATTAAGTTTCGTTTAAACAAAAGCTAGTTTATGAAACTACCAAACCAAACTACATAAACTTAACGTAGGTAACGAGTTACCAAACTACCAACAAAAAAAAAACTAATTGCAAACGATTTTCTTAATTCATTTTTCGTATTCAAATTAATTCAAATTGGGACACCACAGAGATTATTTATCAATAAATTTCCAATATGCTTTCCGTAGGGTGTAAAGCACTGAAAATACGAACTTTGACACTTGTAGATGATGCTGTTAGAACCAAGTAATCATAAATGTGGTGTTTTAATTTGGGAGTGATTTGAAAAAATTAATAATTTTGTTGATTTCAGGTTCCTCAGCAGCAGCACATGCCCGTGTCGCCCCAGCAGCAGCACGCCGTGTCACCTCACATGCAACAGCACGTCAGTCCGCCCCCGATGGTGTCGAGTTCGCCTCCCGTTTCGGCAGCGCCACCTTCAGTACCAACAACGGTAGCTCAACAGAACGTAGCGCAGGGCCAGATGAGACCACCGAATTCGTGTATACGGCACGGGTGCCCCAATCCGGCCATCACAAATTCGGAGTGGGAGGACGAGTATTGCAGTAACGAATGTGTGGTTAGCCACTGCCGGTAAGTGGATGGTGCGTTTACGGAGGGAAGTGTGTTATATGTCGGCGTTTTGCAGGGATGTTTACACAAATTGGGTAGCCAGCAACAAGAACCAATCACAAAATTTCTCGACAGTTAAATAAATTGTAGAATAGGGATTGTTGCAAGTTTCGAAGCTAAGCAATACGACAGGAACAGAATAGAGTATTAAGTTTGTAAGCGGTTCGTCTGCAGTTCTGGTAAAGTTGTGTTATAGTGAGAGGATAGGTTAAGATGTAAATAAAATGATAATCATTTAGAGAGTGAGGTTGTATTGTGGGAAGCAATAGGAGCAATACGATTTCATGATAGGTATACAATACAGACCTTGTAATCCTAGCATATACACGTTGTATATTTAATTATTGAGAAATTTGTTAATTCATGCTCTGTAAATGCATGTTCCCTTTGGAAAATGGTAGTTAGACATGTCCAAAGTACATAAGAAAATATATAAGATGAATCTATTTTAGTTCATAGTTAGGTCTTTGTTGTTACGGAACGTTCCCCGACCCCTGTGAATATGTGAGTGGATGGATGAGAGGCGTGTTAAGCGCATCTAACCGTGTTCTCTGTTCCTCGTACTGAATTCCATTGATTATTTCAATCGGATCTTTGAATCAGTTGGTTTTGTCGAAGATCTCGATCTGACCCATAGTTTGTAGCGACAATTATTTTTATATCATTGACCAATCAAAGTTACGCTTTTTTGTCGATGTATATAAATTGCAGTTGTTATTTTATTGTTATTGATGTAATAAGCAATTCGGTTGCGTCAACATCCCTAGTATTAAATACGTGGTGAAGGATGTATATTTGTGAATATTTTGAACGACTTGTTAAGATTCGAACTGTTTGAAGCAGTGATATTGTTATACTCCGTTTTTAGTTTCCTTCTCGACTGTTTGAGACAGTTTGAACTGTGAGAACTGTACATTACGTTTAGGAAAATACACATTATTACGACGTCATACTTAGTTCTCATTGTTCCTTCGATTGTTCGTGGTTTTCGTTCTGGACTGATATAAACACGCAACAATCAGCGATTCGTTCATTCGGATATCAAAAATCACGACTACTCCAATCCTTATCTCTACATGAGCTTTAAAATTATTAAGTACAATTTATGTTTCACTATTACATTGTAAATATCATATTTTATCCTGACAAGCACACCTATACTATGTAATCAATTAATATTTAAAATAAATGAATAGATTCTACTCAAAAGTTGTTTCACGCACCCTCTCCCCGTCAAAAAAAAACATCATCATCATCCTTACCATTTAATATAGTTAGTATCTCAACTCAAAATAAAAAATACATTATAAAATTAAAGTGATTCACCCCCGATGGATGTCGGATTCGGACTCGGCGTAGAACTAACCGAACTCAGAGTCTCCTCCTTCACCCTCTTATTCGGATCCTTCTCTTTCTTCTCCTTATCTTTGTTATGTTTGTGGTCGTGTTTGTGCTTATGTTTATGTTTGTGCTTCTTCTTATCCTTCTTCTTTTTCTTAAGCTTCCCCGAATCTGACTTATGCTTCGAATCCCCGTCCTTTTTAAACATTCCCGGCTCGAATCCCACAGGACCACTCTGACCCATCCCCGGTAAAGACACCGAATTGTCCGAAAAATACTCCTGCTTGGGCATCGGCCGGGGAGGCTCAATTTGCATATCCATTGGTTCGTCCTGACAAAATTAGCGAGACCATAGTATGCGAATAACTTGTTAAATATCCACTCACCTTCACTCCATCGCTTGCTACCACCTCCACGTTCATGCACTCTAGATTATCGTCTATTATTATAGACGTTGAAGTATCCTTAGGATTAGGAGAGTGTTTAATTTCCGGATTCGGAAGCAGTTTGGGGATATGGGGTGTTGATTTTTTAACGTCCACTTTTTGTGGGTGCATAAGACCGGCAAGCTCTGGAATGGGAAGGCAGACCGGCCGTTTACTCCCATAGAGGGTGTAGTAAACGTCCACCAGGTCGCAGCGCAACCTTGTGTCATGGGACAACATCCCGCTACAAAAGTGCGTGTGAGCAATATGTTTACGTATATTGTGCGCAAATCCCATAAGTAAGGCAAACCAAAAGGGCGTCAGAAAGTTATAGACAAGATAAATCAAAGACCAGACGCTGAAAAAAGGGTTAAGTTACAAAAACATCCTTCACTGTAAGAGTGTCTTCAAATAAAACAACAACAGTGTTTTATTCACTTGAACTTTCCGATGTAAAAGTACATGGTGTGCGGTCACGATAACTTCTATTACTTGCCTGTTACAAGCGGATTACGCACGATAACAATTCCGACTAGACAGCGACAACGTTAACGACGACAAAGTAAAACTACCTAGTCTGAAACAAATCCTAACCGGTCTGACTTTGATTACTTACGACCTGAACAACATCAAACAAGTCCACACAACGTTGTTTGTCTGAATAACAAGACATCTGGCTTTTAAATTCCTCCACAAATCCGTCCCTAATACAACCAAGAACAAAAACTTGTCCAACACAGGAAAAAACCCTGTATAAAAGAATATATCGAAATGCAACGCTTACCTCAAAACTTAAGGAATTGCATTACTTATGAGATTTGCCGCTAACATTACACACGAACTGAACCCTAGACACCTAATTTAGCTTGTACATACTTAATGTTTGTCCAAATTCGCTCCACCAAATCCGGAACGTCCAGTCTTTCCCGATACGCCCTCTTAAAAGGCGGATTTTTAATTAGCAATTCTGCCAATTTATGTCGGAGCCCTGGATCCGGGTCATTCTCGAGTATATCCAAAATGTCTAGGAGGTCACTCAAGCGTCCGTCCGCTCGAACGAAATCCACCAAACACTCCAAAGCCGCCAACCTGACATCTACAACTTCCTTCATAAGAAAATAACACCTCTAGATCCTAATCTCTACCAATAAAATGGCCGTAAGCGGCATAACTCTTGAAAACCGTCGGCCTACTCGGCAAATGCCCAAACTTCTGCAACTTCCTAATGGTTTTCAAGCACGCCACCGACACCGTATATTTATAACACGGCAACGCCTTCTCCAAATTCAGCATCCTAGTCACCTCCTCCAAAATCGCCTTCGTGTCGGTGCTCAAACTCTCCGCCGTTATGGGCGCCCCCTGGTGTATAACCGACACGACAGGAGTGACCGTGCTCCCCAGCGCCTCCACCAGAGCCGCCCTATAATAATTATCCGAATACCGATTCTTCGAGTTATCGTTATACTTGAACAAGTCCAACAAAAACCGTATGACATCCGGTGGACAAATGCCATGTGCGTTCCTCAACCCCGCCATCGCCAGCGGAATGGTCTTCTGCAAGTGGTAATGCTGAAAGTTCGTGAAACTGTTCTGTCGAATGATATGCGGAGCGGCAAAAGACCCGAACAATTTGCGAAAAATGGCCAACATAGCGGGCGGTCCGGCCCAATTAGCCACCATAGCGTTTGCCACTTTCGTTAAACAGTGAGCCGCACGACGTCGTACTTTGTAGTAGCATTGTTCGTTTTCGATGGTGTCGGTTAGGGCGAGTCTGGTGGCCGGGGTGGGGTAGCGCTCGAGCGCGTTGATGGCTTCCATTTGGGCCGTGACGTCACGTTCGTGGCGAAGTTGGTACTGCCATTGGTAGTCGGGTTGCTCGATCACCACGGAGCGGAGGAGGGTCATCTCGGGGTCTAGGCGGATCCAGAGGGCTGGAGAGTCGCTGAAAGGGAGTTGGTAAGACTGTAATGTGACAGAGGAGACTCGCTGCAAGTGGCATGTGCTTCTGTCTTCTAGACAAATTGACTCATAATTTTTTGTGACAAATTTAGAGAACAATGCCGAAACTCGCTGTGAATTTTGCCAAAGTCAGCCCAGTAGAGGGGAGTCGCTGCAAATATTAAAATTCGGAAAAACACGTTAATACGACTGTGTTTTTGAACATCTTCAAATGGATGTCAAAATATTAAACTAAAAATTTTAAGAAGTCACATTTTCACTTACCATAATCGCCTTAATTCCCACAGAGTGGCAACAATTTTTAGTTGGCGCTTGTGTATTCGTATTTATAAACCGTTCAAGGTGTTTTTAGGCAAAAGCCATGAAATTTTTTTGAATTATATTGATTCATTGACAAAACGGTTTGTCGGTCAATACGTGAGACTGACTTTCACTTAAGGCTGATTTGCCACATTTATTGTTATTTAGAAATCATATACCCCCATAACAGCAACAAAACTGTTCTTAAATTTACCACTCGATTAAGAGCGACGGAAAAAATTTGTAAGAATGTCATAGTAGGCACTAAGATAATTTACAACGTTGCCAGATAACCCTAACACAACTTTGCCGATATTCCTAGTCAATTAGATTTTATTTCGTTTAGAATTTTCTGATAAATATATGGGATTATTATAATAAATAAATAGTACAAACAAATTATTACTTGTTTTAAATACTTGTTAGTGCTATTGTAAACGTAAAAGGAAATACGCTTTCGTGAGCTCGCTTTTGTTACTAATAAATATAAACAAAAATGATTTTAAGTGCGTTTTCTTAAAATTTACTATATTTTTTTAGAAAACTTATTAAACTAGAGACAGGCAGATATGCATTAAAGACAAAACATATGCATTAATATATGTCTTAAAAAAGAGGTAAAATATCCCGCATAAACTTGAAAATAAGTTATTTTCTTTCACATTTTATAATGTAAGTACAATTATATCGATAACTCGTTACTGAAAATTTATTGAAATATAATTTGTGTTTAAAAATAGATAGCACAACTTCTTGATATTATTTATTTTTATTTCAAATAATAATCGTGTTTTCTTTAGTTTTAACCAAGAAAATTTTCGCTTATTATCGAACATACTTTTGTACATTGTGAAACAACATTCCACGTCTCAGGACGTTACAGGACAATATTTAACTAAATAAGCTTTTCCAAAAAGAAGTCGTTTTATGTGTTTTAAAATTCACTCTTTGATCTTCGGACTTTCAAAAACTGATTTCTTAGTAACGATGGTGACTGAAATCCACCTTTTATTTTTTTTTTAGGACAATAGCCATAATATCCAGTACGTAGTCATTAATCGTTCTGCACTATTATTAATAAAACAAGCAGTTATTTTTCATTAATAAATAAACCAAAAAAAAAAAAAATTAATAAGACAACTATAATAAATTATAAACAAAAACAACAAAAGAAAAATCCATTAAAGCATAATCAAATAAACACTAGAGATTTTCAAAATTCCTGCCTTGTGCATACATATAAGTAAGCTCGTAATGTTTCCAAATTTTAGTTAGTGAACAGTATCTATTAAGATAAAACTGATTTTGACAAATGACATACCCTCTAAGAAAAGAGAGGGTGGGTGGATGGGCGGGGCTAGTACCTACTAGGATAAGACTAATTTTGCCAAATGAGATACCCATCAAGAAGAGAGAGGGCGGGTGGGCGGGGCTAGTACCTGTTAGGATAATACTAATTTTTGCAAATGAGATACCCTCTAAGAAAAGAGAAAGCGAGTGGGCGGGGCTAGTACCTGCTAAAACAAGACCGATTTTGGCAAATGACATATTCTCTAAGAAAATACTTCGTATTCTCCTGAAAATTATTTGAAATATTCCCTAGAACCGTTGCCAAATTGCCGTTGATAGTAACTTTGATGGTCAACTTTTGCCGTATTTGGGTTGTAGAAAAAAAGTGGAGGATTACTTTTTTCTTGTTGTCGAAATAAGTCTACACATATTAAGAAAAAAAAAAGGCAAAATGTAGCCCCGCCCACCCGCCCTATCTCAATTGTATGTTTTTTTTTATTCGTCGTGAACTAAGAAGGTGGAGCTTAACTGCAAACATTTTTCATTCGTTGCCAATTCGAGGGGCGGGGCTCAATTGCAAGATCCATATTTGTCTACATGAATGTTTTAAGTTTCTTCTTCTGACAAGACGACTATGTATATTAAGAAAAAAGGCAAAATATAAGCCCCGCCCACCCACCCTATCTCAATTGTGATGATTTTTTTTAATCGTCGAGAGCCAAAGAAGCGGAATTTAATTGCAAAACCCTCATTATCTTCTACAAGAAATTACCACGTAAATCATGTTTTTGAGTATCGTGTTATTCAAAGAATACTATGTACATTGTACATATATTAAGAAAAAACCCATACCTGACCTGATCTAAATAGTAATGAAGTTTTCATTTATTAGCAAAATTTAGGGGCGGCGAAGCATAATTACAAAATCCGTATTTTCTTAAAAAAAATTTACCACTTTAAACTTTTTTTAAGTTTATATATATAATTTCTTATAAAAAAATAAGGATTTTGCAATTAAACTCCGCCTCCCGGCTGAAGACGAATAAAAAAAATCATCACAATTGAGATGGGGTAGGTGGATGGGGTTTATAGTTTGCCTTTTTTTTTCTTAATATGCATAGTATTCTTTGAACAACACGATACTTAAAAATATGTTTTTAATTTCTTGTAAATAAATAAGTATTTTATAGTGAAGCTCCGCCCCCTTGGTTCACAGTGAATAAAAAAAATCATCAGAAGTGAGATAGGGCAGGTGGGCGGGCTTACATTTTGCCTTTTTGTTTGAATATATGTAGACTTATTTTCACAACATGAAACTTAAAACATGTTTAAAATGGAAAATTTGTATGATTTTGCAATTAGGCTCCGTCCCATAATTGCAAAATTCATATTTCCGTGCAAAAACGTACCATTTTAACCATGTTCTAAGTTTCTTGTTGTGAAAAGATGGCTATGTATATTTAAAAAACTATGACCCCGCCCACCCGCCCTATCACAATTCTGATGATTTTTTTATTCGTCGTAAACTGAGGGGCGGAGCTTAATTGTAAAATCCTTACTTTTATACCAGAAATTACCATGTGGAATTGTTCTTAAATATTATACAAAGAAAATTAAGACTCGGTTTATAGAAAGCGAAATTTAAGTTAATTCGCGATTAACTTTTAATTGAGGTCTGTTCATAAGCAACGTGCATGTTTCAACCGATCACGGGCTAAATTAATAGAGGATTAAATATTTAATTCGCTTTTCTATAAAACCAAAACAGAAGCCCCACCCATTCGTCTGGATCTCAATCGTGATAAATTTTTCATTGGTTGTCAGACCGAGGGGCGGAGCGTAATTGCAAAATCGATATTTCCCTATACAAATTTATCATTTTAAACATGTTTTGAAGTGTCGTGTTGTGAAAAGATGACCACACATATTAATAAAAAAGGCAACCTCAGTAATGGAACTTCAGTAGTTTTACATTTGTAAACAGAGACAGCGACAGCGTAGGAATTTCAGCGCATTTTGTGGTGTTAGGTTGCTGCCAACTTATATGTCAACTGTCAAGAAATCCCAATCTCTCACCGCAACTACTATACAAAAACAGCACAACCATATCTTTGTACATTCTACCTGAAATGGTAATTATGGGCGAGAGAAATATTAACTAAAAGTTTTATTACTAGTTACTGTGATAATGAATGTGTTATTTAGCTGTTAAACTTAGGAAAAGAACCAATTTTAAAATCATTATAACTCCACAAAAAAAAAGTGAAAAGGATTTTTTACTATTTTTCCCAAACTCACCACTTGATTGTCAAGAGCGTAGCGGAGAGTTAATTCACCATTTTCCAGACACCCAGTATATTAAAAACATTCATTGTAAATAAGTAAATTATGTAAATAAACCATAAAACCATTAAAAAAAATCCCTATGTCCTCTATTCAAAATGCCAATTTATGCATAGGAATTAAGGCGCAAAGATGTTTCACTAAATTTATTACAGTTTCGGCCACAAAATAGAAGTATTGGCAAAGTTGTGTTAAGCTCATCTGGCAACGTTGTAAATTATCTTAATGCCTACTATGAGATTCTTACAATTTTTTTCCGTCGCCCTCTATCGAGTGGTAGATTTAAGAACAGTTTTGTTGCTGTTATGGGGGTAGTCTATGCCCGCGATTGGGGTCCAAACTATTCGACGGTGTTTGACGTCCAAATGTTGGTGCATGCATCTCTTATTCGCCGGCCTTCGGCATATTCACTCCAAACACTTATTGTGATTTTCTAACCTTACATTAAAAACAACCTAACCTAATACGATAAATTTCATTTTCATTAAGGATCTTTGCATATACGAAATTGGTTGCCTATCCCTTACATTTCTTACCTCTGTTTAAAAACATCCTGAACTTGACATTTTCCGTATCAAGTAAACAAGTAAGTATTAAAAGCAACGATTACGATTATTACAGGGCCGCAAAGATAAAATCTAAAATGTGCATATTTAATAAACGTACGAAAATATTGACTATAAACGTGCTAAGTCCGGAAGGTGTGGCAGAGGGACTCGCTACAAATCACAAACCCGACATTTTCAATAACTTACTCCATAGCGCTCAAATCCATATCCACCTCATCTCCTGTACACAAAGGAATCTTTTTCTTCTTATTTCTGCGACTTTTCGAGTGACACGTAATATCCGCCTTGACCACAGTATTTTCAATTTGCAACATATGTTTGAACGTTCCGTCCAACTCCTGCAGCGTCACTAGTAGAGGTCCCACGTACTTTTTAATACCCAACTGAGTTGTAGCATCCTGGCGTATCTCCAGTTCAATAGTATTCCTTAAAAAAAAAAAAATGAAAAAAAAATATAACCACAGTTCAAAACTGGCGAACCTTTTTCTATTAAAAACTGAAGTCAAGTGAAACTTGGCATGTCCTCCAGTACGCACCCATTGGTCAATAAAAACCGCCATATCCTTCCCCGTGACTGTAAAAATCGCTTTCGTGAAAACATTGGTACTTATCAACATGTGGCCCCACAAGCCACTCCCAATTTTTTGTTGTGCGGCATTCCCAGCCAATGAGAGTTGCTTATTGAAAACCTGCAACAGTAACTCTTGGCCAATCCTGTGTTCCAACATCCGCATTACTAAAAAGGCTTTTTTGTGAAGCGCCTGTATATACATGGGCGACAAAGTGTGCAAATTTCGTATCGAAAAATAAAATTTTTCTTCGTTGTGTTTTATGTTTTGTTGGACTGTGTTTGATCCGAGGGGGAGCGGCGCTGGGGGCTGGCTCGGGTCAAGGACAATTCCACCGAATTGCTCTTCATATTTGACGACATCTTGGAGCACACTCTGCACCCAGTAACGATACTCATTGTTACCAAAACTCTTCTTGGAGTACAAACCACACAAGTACTGGCTTATGCCTTTGTTAAGCCACATGTCTGACCAATTCTGCATGGAAATGAAGCATCCAAAAAATTGTTCGGCTATGGCCTGGGCCATTATAGTCCTCGTGATATACACTTGGTCAATAATCACAGCTGAATGTAACAAATTTACACTTATAATGCTCATGGTGGCGTAAGAACGATAATCTTCATGAGTTTCATCCACGAAAACTTGTTTGTAACAGGAGTACGGATATCTATTTGACAATGTCTCTTCATAAAACTCGAAAGCTTCATGCATATATCGAGTAGTGACTTTCAGAAGCGGCAACAACCCAGGTAAACAAAAATGGGTCACTTCATGCATGTACGGATCTACATATATCTCAAAAGGACCAACTGCTAATGAAATATTTGGTGCACAAGTTGGTATATTTAACGAATAATGATAAGTTTTCCGCCTCATATCAGGGGTATATACAACCTCTATTAAATCCCCATTTGAGACAGCTGTCATTTCGTCGTCCACTGTAAACTCAAGTTTCCATGTACAAGTCTCTGCAAAACTGTCCACACAAGGAAACCATAAGCGGGAAGAATTCTGGTGTCCATAAGTGAATAAATGGACACCTCTCTCAGCATATGTTCCTTCTTTGGGTGGCAATACAAAATGGATGCCCCCTTGGGGTTGCTCCAAAGAGAACTCTATACCAACTCGTAACGCTGTGCCTTCAGCCACCAAGTGAGAAGCTTCAGGAGGAATCGTTACCACAAGCTCCCCGGCGTTATTATCAGGATCTACTTTAAGCGCTGCGTTTAAGTGATGGGTGGAAAAAGTCTCCAAGCTACGACTATAGGAAATTTTAGTTAATTTGGGTCCAATAAGTAAATCACAAGCAAAGTTTTACATCTAAGACAGCTTTGACGTCAAAGTTGTCATAAGTCACAGCCTGCTTGACTAATTCTAAGTCGTTCTAAAATTATTATTTTTCTACTACATACAATTATTCAAATAAATTTGCATTTTTTTAACAAGTAGAAAGCTTCACCTATGATTTACTTTTCACAATAAAGTTCAATTTACGTGTCTGTGTCCGACTGGCAAACGTCCAAAAACGGATCAAAATACTGAAAGTGGGCCTCATAGTCATCATTTAGTATTATTCTGTAAATGCGACACTGCTTTGCATTTAATCTGATGTGTCGGAGGTTGTCGCGGAGGGGTACCACGGTCAATTCCACAAACCCCTACAAACATGTATTTATTAAAAAGTAATTATAAAGTTCAAAAAACGTACAATAATGCTTTTCCTTTCAAAGCTTATCCCTGTAAGGCTAACAATTTGGTGGGCTGTAAAAAAAACATAACCTCACTTTCTTGCCACAACTTATATTAATTCCGATTATGTAAAGATACTTATAATTTAAACGGCCGGCAGTTGTCTCCAGTGCGTTCTCGCTTCATTTTTATCCAATTTTTGGCTTCTACATGATTTGGATTTTGGAAATCGAAAACACTCAGCTGACTTGTTTACCAACAGTTTTTTAGGTTAGGGTTGGCTAGTGAAGGCGTGTGCCCCATTTTTGACACCACAAGAGTCTTTCAATTATTGTGCATAAGATAGAAAATCGAATGCAACATTCTGGTGGTAACATAGGGTTCTTCTATTGGCTGATTTCTGATAGGTGTTTATGGCCACTAAAACCCTGGTGTTAAGGACGCATTTCGCTACAAATTTGTCGCTAATTGGGAAGGGGAAGGTATTTGAGAGAGTTAGGTTATGTTATTCACATGTGCACCAACAAAAACTGTTTTAAACTTTTATTAAACTATAAATAACGAAAATGAGTTCTAGTGAGTCCGAACTTAGTGATAGTGATATTGAGGTAATAATTGTCACAAATCGTGGTACCCTACAAACTAAAGTAATTTGTTTTTAGTTGCAAGAAGCATTTGCCGAAGGTCGCCTCAAACCCGGACTCAACAAGGTGGAAGCAGCTCCGAAACAGTTCACGAACAATGTGGTAAGTCTTTCGTGGTTTTTCATTCATTTGGTACTACAAACAAATTGTAGGGAGGTCTCCGCCAAAAATTAACTGAATTCAAGTTGGATCTGCCATGGTTGGAAACTTTAGACTTAGTCAGCAAACAGGCGCCTTTAGCTCCTGAATTAGCCGCCCAGATGCTCATCCACGAACAGAAACGCGAAAACCAACTTAAAAACAACAAAAAATTGCCGCAAGTTGACCCCAGCGTGGATCCAGTTTTGAATGATTTTAAACGCGAAACTATGTTCCATAGACAGGCTCAAGGCACTGTGATGGAAGCTCTACCCAAACTCAAAGCACTAGGTTTAAAGACTATTCGTCCTGAGGACTATTTTGCCGAAATGGCTAAATCAGATGAGCACATGCAGAAGATACGGGCGCATTTGATGCAGAAACAAGTACAGAAACAGAGAAGCGAAAGAGTGAAACAACTAAGGTCGCAGAAGAAAGAAGGGAAGATGTTGCAGATTCAGACGAAACTGGCAAGACAGAAAGAAAAGAAGATGATGTTAGAGCAAGTGAAGAAAGTTAGGAAGGGGCAGTCGAAGGATTTAGGTTTCTTAGACGGGAAGAATAAGGGGAAAATAAGTGATAAGAGGAAATTAAGAGATAAAAAGTTCGGGTTTGGTGGAAAGAAACGGGGCAGTAAATTGAATACGAAGGATAGTGCCAGCGATATTAGCGAATATCGAAGGCCGAAAAAGCCTGGAATGAAAAAGGGCAAAGGGCCAGGAATGAAAATGGGCAAAGGGCCAGGAATGAAAAAGGGTAAAGGGCCAGCGAAAAGGCCAGGAAAAAATAAAAGAATTAAGAGTAGAGCAAAGGGAAAACGTTAATGATTTTCAGATGACTCTTGTAATATTTTTAATAAAAATGATTATTCTACCTTGCCTTTTACTTTAAATCCATCATTTCATGTGTTTCTATTATGCATTAGATAAAATACATTTCGTGAATAAATTTGTTTTTTTATTTGTGGGTATTAAGATCATGGTATTAAGATTAGTTTAAATTTAAATTTAGCGCCATATTCGTAGCGGTGGCGCTCGAAATTAACAATGAAGCATGTCAGAGAATTCTGTCATTCTGTGATCCAGTAATTTAGGTTATGTTTATGTGACCACGTTTACTATCACCTTTAAAACTTAGCAAACAAATGGGAAAATTAAAACTTAGTAAGTACTTTTAAAATAACACAAAACCGTCAAACACAATGCATTTTTGTAGAGAAGCCTTCCAGGCGACAACCAGCCCGCCAACGTTACAAAATCCAAAAGAGAATCCGTCAGCATAACCGAAAAGTGCGCAAAGAGGCAAAAAACAACCCTAAAAAGCACAAACAAGCGGTTATTCAAGTGCCCAACATTTGTCCTTTTAAAGAAGACATTCTAAAAGAGGTAGAAATGATGAAAAAGCAGAAAGAGGAAGAACGTCAGAAACAACGTGAACAAGCAAAAATAGAACGTCAACAAAAGAAAGAAGAAGAAAAAGCTGCGTCAAATAAGAGCTTGGAAAGTATGGTGGCGAACGCAGAAATGCGGGGAAAAATTCACGAAAACCTAACCCCCACAATAAACACAAAAACTCATGAAAACAACAACGAGAACTCACTCAAAGCATACTACAAAGAATTTAGGAAAGTAGTAGAAGCAGCTGACGTTGTTTTAGAAATCGTGGATGCACGTGATCCCTTAGGAACACGTTGCGTTCAAGTGGAAGAACTTATAAAAGACATGAAAGGCAACAAGCGATTGGTTTTAGTTCTCAACAAAGCTGACTTAGTTCCACGAAAAATCCTTGATCAATGGTTAAAGTATTTGAAGAAAAGTGTCCCGGCTATAGCTTTCAAAGCCTCCACGCAAGACCAGTCACGAAAACTTGGCCAGAAAAAATTCACTAAAGCGGAAAAAGCAACCCAGGGATCTACTAGCGTGGGCGCTGAAATTCTCATGTCACTTCTGGCAAACTATTGTCGCAATAAAGGTATTAAAACGTCAATCACGGTGGGAATTGTTGGTTTACCAAATGTTGGTAAAAGTTCAATCATTAATAGTTTGAAGCGCTCACGCGCTTGCAACGTGGGGGCTACTCCTGGTGTCACTAAAGCAATGCAAGAGGTACAACTTGACAAAAAAATTAAGTTGTTGGATTCGCCAGGAATTGTTTTTGATGCTGGTAATGATAATATTGCTAGTTTGAGAAATTCAGTTCGGGTTTCGAGTCTCGCTGATCCAGTCACTCCAGCAAATGCTATTTTACAAAGGGTGACAAAGCAGCAGATGATGGAAATGTATGATGTGACTGATTATAGTACTCCAGATGAGTTCTACAGTTTGAAAGCTGCCAGAATGGGAAGGTTCAAAAAAGGGGGCGTCCCGGATTTGATAGCCGCAGCGAGAAGTTTACTAGAGGATTGGAACAATGGAAAAATTAAATATTACACGCTTCCGCCAGAGGATGATAGTCAGGTGCACGTCAGCTCAACTATTGTTACAGAAGTGGCAAAAGAGTTTGATTTGGACGGCATTGAGGCAATGGAAGTCAGTAATCTGGATAAGATCGAACGGGAGGCTGGAAATACCAAGGATTCATTTGTCTTGGAGAGTTTGGGGCCCGTGCATATTGAAAAAATGGAAGAAGATGGAGCTGAGGAGCAAGAATTGGTAAATATTTGTTCAGAAAACAAGTCAAGTGTGCTATGCGCTATTGACACGTCTAGTTACCAATCAAAATTTACTTTAAAACAGTTGTACCAACCTGACAATTAGTTGTTTTTAGTTCTCTCATTTATAGTGTCAAATTAATTTTAAAATCTGGTTTCTTATTTTAGCTGAGTAAAAAGATCAGCGTCGAAAGCAGAAAAAAATCTAAGAAAAACAACAAAAAAGAAGAGAAGAAAATTGATCCCGAAATGGAATTAGATGGTAACCAAAAGCTAAATCAAGTTAGGAAAAACCAATTCAAAAAAGAAAAGAAGCTGAGGAACCGGAGGGAAAAAGTCGCACTACAACTGGCTAGTGGTTTAGAAAACTTTAATATAACGAACGATAAGAATGATGCAAATTATAGTTTTGAAACCGACTTTGTTATGGATAAGTAACAATATTTAAATTAAAAAATGTTAAAAATAATCGTCTTCACTAGGTGGTTTGTAGTTTGGTAAAATCGCCCAAACTTTTTCGCGCCATTTCTTCATTTTCATTTCCTTGGACTTTTCCAGTTGAATAACTGCTGGTAACGAACGCCACTGGTAGAACGAGTGGAATAGAATACGCCTACAATTAAAAAACTCGTAAAATTTAATTTAAACGCCAAATTATTTACCTGTCGTAGTGTTTCCGTGCCACGTCCATTTTTTTGTGAGTTAACATAATTCGAATACAGACGTTACGGTGCCAGTGAACAAAAGTGTTGTTCAGCAAAAGCAAATCGTAAAAATCTTCAGCCACCTGCATGGATCTGATGCCCTCAATGCGGAACTGAAACAAACCAAGAGACTTTATTAAAACAAGAATTTAAATGTTACCTCACGCCAGGTTTGCAAGGCTCTTGAGACTATGTTTTTAGCGTAAACGGCATCAGCTAGAGCGTTTTTATCGCGATATTTATCTTCCATAAATTCGGTCCATGTATGCATAACTTTGCTTAAAAGAGTAATCTTATAGTGTAATTTGCTCCTTTCATAATTTTCTTTGCCTTGCGTGTAATTTTCAAATAAACCCTGAAAAGCCTTTCTCTGCAAAGTCCGATTATAAAGTCCTAGTGCTATTTTCACTTTCTCGAAAAAAATTAACTTGTTTCTTTCTCTGATCTGCCTCATTTCTAGTTCCTTGCGACGACGCTCTTTAATCTGTTCCAAACTTCTTTTTTTCTCGTCTTCGTCTTGAATTCGTTTTCTCTCTAAAGCTTCCAGAATCATTCTCTGTCTGTTCTCTTGAATTATCCTTTTTCGTTCTAGAATGAGTTCACGTCGTTTGGCTCTTTCCAAAGCCCGTTCTTCCACTTCTTGGACTATTTTTGGTGCTTTTTGCGTGGAAATCATGAACTTTTCGCTGTAATCAGGCGGCGGCGCTATTTTGCACCTAACTTTAGTGGAGCAATTGGCGAAAATTTCACGAATTTCGATTTTAGTCTCGTTTAGCGATTTCAAAGCCTCTCTGTCAAAAATTCCTAGTTTGAGCTCTTCAATCACTCTATCTTTCTCCTCGATTTTTAACGTGAGTTTTTCAATGGCATGTTTCTGCGCTTCAAATCGGCTTTTAAAATTGGTGGGTGCTTCTTTGACTTTGATTTGGGTGGGTTGAGAGTCCTCTTGATTTTCTTTTCTGTATTTCTTCAACGCTTTGACCAAATTATCCAGTTTCTCCCGCTGTTGCACTTTCGACCTGTAAATTTCTTCCTTTTCTGTTTTAACTTTGACGACGCGTCTCCACACATCGAAGCACTTTTTCAAAAGTTTCTTTTTCTCATAGTCCGTGGTCGCCTGCATCGTAACTGTAAAAAGTTTTGTTGGTGAAGAAATTGGTTGCTATGGTCGTTTAAATTGCGCGCTGACGTGACGTTGACGTCTGTCTCTGCAACAGAGGGCGTGTCTGTCGCGGTGCAAAATGGCGGATATTTGTAAGGTGAGAAGGCTTGCAAAATAGCAACATTTTCACTTTTGTTGGCATAAATAACCTCAAATCCTCACAAAAACCCCCCAACTGAGCATTTTCCATCACGATCGAGTGATTTTGACCCCCCAAACATGCCAGATTTGAAACAAATTTACTTTAGTCCACCCTCTCAAAATGGATTCTTCCGCTATCATAAATCACAATGTTTGTTTTCGTTGTATTTTACAAGATGATCAATTTCAGCTGATTACATTTTTATAATAACACAATGGACACGATTGTGCAAGGGCCCCCCGAGGACGGGGCCCAGGATTTGAATCTAGTCGACGCAACGGAATGGGCATCGCAGAATTCGCAAGAAATTGTAAATAATAATTCGACTTTTCTGTATATCGCGGTGAGTATTGATTATTGGAGGAAATCCGACTGCAATTGCCATATATTGAAGGTTGAATACGTGAAAGATGAGTACAAAATGGAGCCTGCGGTGAGTTTGGCTCAGCCACAAGACAATTACACGGATTTTGAGCAGCATGTTAGCCCCTTGGACCCAAATATGAGCTCCGTGGCTAGGTACAGCCCCGTCTACAGTGAACCTTCTGCTGAATACAACCCTGTTGTTATTCATCAGCTGGTGCAACAAGACAACGTACAAAATGACATGATTAACAATTTAACTACAAATTCGCCTTTAGAAACGATGCCGGTTTTGTGCAATAACGACATTAGGGAGGTTGTCGATAACCACTTTCTTCAGATGGTTAACACAACAAATGCCGCTCCTGACGCTAACCAACAGGAGCTGCAAGTGGTGCCCCCTAATGATCAAGAAGTGGCTTTGTTGATAACTGACCAAGAAACGGGTATCTCTTATAGTGTCAGATCTCAGGAATTTTTAGTAGAGCGTTGTTTGGAAGACGAGCAGTTGTTGAACGCTCTAAGTCCGGATCCTTTACTTGACTCGCAACTTTTAGCTTTAGATGAAAATACGCTGAAAACGGAATTGAGTGACGAAATTATTAATTCCACGGTTAATTCGGCGGTTAATAATTATATTTCGAGTTTGAGTGCCGCTGTGGACAATGAGAATCAGTTCAGGATGGAGACGCGGAGGCAGAAGCAGAACGAAGTCGAGTTTGAAGATCAGTTATGTAATGACTTTGTAATAAATGTGTTTGATTATTTGCTAAATTATTTATTGTTGATTTTCAGTGTCTAAGGTCTACAGTATTGTCGACAAACCTGTGCCATCAAGGGCCAGAGCTACTCTGCCAGAGTCATATCTTTGCTTGAGTAAAGTGGATGAAGGTTTGTTTTTAGTGTAGGTGAATAAATCATTGGTTGCTCAAAATGGCGTTCTAAATTTAGATTTGTTTATTGCTTTGCATGACTGAAGAAATGGGTAATCATTTATGAATATAATCATGTGGAATCAATGTGTCATCTCACAACAGTTCCATATAAAATATTATGAATTGTAGACATGAAACTTATTCCTGGAAGGCGCAAATGTCGCCTTTAACGTCAAGTTAAAAATAATTACATTTAAATGTTTCATTATTAGATTTAATGGAATATTATTACCTTCCAACATTAGTACGTGCTGAATCACAATTATCATTTTTGATAAAGCGGATAAAATTTCTATGAATGGTACGTACTACTAGATAATTGTTATAATTTAACGCAAAAATATTTGCTACAACTTTATTTTTAAATATTTGTAACATTATCAGTGACAATTACTACAATAATTCTAAATACCTATAAATAGAACACTTACCAAACCAATATACAACCACTTTTCGCACCTGCGCGACTACGTGGTATCAAAATCAAATGCGCTTCTCCTCCACACCTTAACCATAAGTACGCTTAACCGATCACGTGACAACTTCCACCCAGTTCATACTTAAGCATTTTCCTACTAGATTATGGCGTTTTTGCGAAGAAAACCATCCCAAGAAGTACCCAGTTTGGACCTTTGACGGGCGTTCTGAAACCTGTCGCCGATGAAATAAAAGACAACCCAACCGAGCTTACTTTTCTTTTAGAAGACGAAAATTCCACAGTCAACCAGTTGGACGTATCTGATGAAAGTGAGTTAATCATTTTTCGCGAATTATGACTTAACATTTTTGTCAAGATATAGCAAACTGGATGCGTTTCATTCGAAAAGCTGCGACGTACAATGAGCAGAATTTGTTGATAACTCAAGAAGGAAGTTATTTGTATTTTACGACAACGAAGAACGTTCTTCCTAAGCAAGAGTTGAAGGTAATGTTGTGGTTCCAGAATGGCTATTTTTTGACAGAGAAGTTTCGAATTGTTTAGGTCGGATACAGCATGCCTTACGCCACGCGTCATAAACTGTCTGTGTTAATCCCAGACGAGGACAAATCGTGGCCGTGTTTCGAGTGCCCGGAGACGTTTTCGTCTTCAGAAGAACTCCAGAAACATTTGAATGTCCATGACGGGGATGAAGAAGATACTGTGAAGAAAAAGAAGAATTTGAAAAATAATAAAAAGAAAGTGGCTACTAAGAATGGTGAGGCGCTGCAGTGCAACAATTGTAATGAACTTTTTCTTCAACCCGGAAAAATTGCACTGAGGCAGCATCTTATTGAGAAACATTTGCTAAGCGGCTTGGACATGATTGATCAGTATTTTTCTTCAGTTTTGTAAGTAGTTGTATGAAATTTATGTACATGTATCAGCCAAAGTGAACGAAACGCGGGCGCTACACTTCGTAAAATTTTATATGTCGTTAATGTCACAATGTTTGAATATCCTCTCTGGTAAAGACCCCGGCATCTATGTCTGTGCCGCAGAGACTTTAATACATAGACTGGCTGTGTCAGGAAAAACGTGAAGTTTTTCGACCGCCATATTGCTTATAACCGTAAGTGCGCGAAATTTGAATTTTCCGGTCACAAAATGCAATTTAAAATGTTAAATAAAAAAGACAACAAATTGTAATTATTTATTTAGCATAATAATATCTATATGTATATGTAAATTCCTTTAAAAATATTATTGTCCTTGAAACAAAATTAATTTCGTGAATTTTTGTCTTAAAGAGATAGCTTTTTCACGCTCACTACTTAAGCGGCACTCATAACCTATTCCGAGAGTCAAATAATTTCTCAAAATTAATTTAAGCAATAAATTAAAATAAGAATTATTTACGTCCAACTAATCCATACTAAACAAATGTTCATTATGTAGAAAAAAAAATGTATGGTCCTACTTTGCAAAGTTAGGGCAAACATTTTAGTTACCAAATCATTTTTAATGGCCATATTTACAAACAATCTCGTAAGTCCCGACACACAAGCACTTTTATTTCGAGGTCTAGAAACGTTCTGTGCTAGAAACCACTGCTGCTAACCACCACAACCTCACTTAATTTGACATAAAAGTTATAGCAATGGCGTCCACACTACCATGCGCCGTGGCTTCACCAAAATGCATTAGAAATGTTACTAACAGCCAGTCTATGTATTTAAAGTCTCTGCTGTGCCGAGAAAAAATAATTTAACCTTACAATTTAAGGCGGTATCACTCGGCCTGGTTTGTGACAGTTTTCATCCCATTTGAAATGTCGTGTAAAAACGATAGAAATTGACTTACGACGATAGATTTTTTAAGTTAAGTAAACGCTGCAGATGAAAAAATTGCTTCAAGTTTTCAGCTGTACCTACTGCGATCTCTGTCGCACAGTGAGTTGGACCTTCGGTCGGAAGTTGACCTGACAAAAGAGGCTTCAAATTTTACTCGTTTTGTATAACTCCCCAAGTTTCGATTCTTTCGTCATTTTGTCAAAATAGAAAATATTGGTGGAATTAAAAAAACTCAGCACAACACATTCAAAATTATTCGAAAGCTATCGGTGTTATTTTTGATACTCAATGTAAATTGTTGAATTATAAAAATTGGTCTAAAGTTATTTAGACAGCACTTTCCTCGCTCTTGAAGTCCGGTATAACATATTCAGTTTTGTCAGATAATTTAAGATTCGATTTAGAGATTTTTTGCTGATAACGCAGTAAAGAGATCCATCTGGCGAATGACTAATTTTATGTTTTCTCGACGTTTCTCGATTTTATAACACAATTTTTGGTTTCTTTATTTCCTTTATTTTTTTTTGTTGTTCCTTTCGATTTACAATTCTTTATTTATTCATTTTTCAAATTTTCAGGCATTCATTTTTCAATTCCATGATTTTCCACGTTTAAAATTTTTCAATTTGCAGTTTTTTGATTTCCAGCCTTCCAATTTTTCAATTTCTTTAATTTTCAATATTTTGATTTTACAATGCACATTTCTTTTTTTTTAATCTTTCGATTTTTCAATTTTTCGTTTCCTCAATTTTTCAAGTTCTCGATTTTTATTTTTTATTTTCCCAATTTTTTTAATTTTCATTTTATGTCACAAATTTTCATTTTTTCAATTCCTTTTTTTTTTCTTTCGATTTTTCAATTTTTCAAATTTTCAGTTCCTCAAGTTTTCGTTTCCACAATTTTTCATGTTCCCGATTTTTGTTTTTCAGTGTGGCGAATTTTTAATTTTTATTTTCTCAATTTATATCACAATTGTCCATTTTTTCATTTCCTTTATTGTCTGTATTTTTTTTTTTTTTCGATTTTACAATTTTTCATTTGTTCAATTTTTCGAATTTTCAGGCTTTGAATTTTCAGTTCGTCCATTTTTCAATTTTTAAATTTTTCACTTTGCAGTTTTTGGATTTCCGGTCTTCCGGTTTTCCAATTTCTTTAATTTTAAATATTTCTATTTCATAATACATATTTCTTCTTTTTTTTTGATTTTTCACTTTGTCGATTCTTAAGATTTTTCAATTTTACAATTTCTCGACTTCCAAAATTTTCAATTTTTCGTTCCTTCAATTTTTCGGTTTGCATCAGTTTTTCAATTTGGCAATTTTTCAATATTACAGATTTTCATTTTTCGATTTTTCAGTTTCTCAATTTTTAATTTTTCCCTTTTCCAATTTTTTGTTCTCGATTTTTATTTTTGATTTTCCCGTTTTTTTTTAATTTTCATTTTTTCGATTTTATATCACAATTTTCCTTTGTTTGGTTGCCTTTGTTTTTTGTTTCTTTCGATTTTGCCATTTTTTCTTTATTATTTTTTTCAAGTTTTTATTATACACTTTTTCGTTTTTTATTTTTGATTTTTCAATTTTACAATTTGTCGACTTCCAAATTTTCCAATTTTTCAATATTACGATTTCTCATTTTTCATTTATCACATTCTCGATTTTTAATTGTGCCCTTTTTCAATTTTCCGTCCCCTGACTTTTTCAACTCCCTGATTTTTATTTTTCATTTTCTCGATTTATATCACAATTGTCCATTTTTTCATTTCCTTTATTTTCTGTTTTTTTTTTCTTTCGATTTTACAATTTTTCATTTCTTCAATTTTTCACTTTGCAGTTTTTGGATTTCTAGTCTTCCGGTTTTCCAATTTCTTCAATTTTAAATATTTCTATTTCATAATACATATTTCTTTTTCTTTTTTTTTTTTGTCGATTCTTAAAATTTTTCGTTCCTTAAATTTTTCGGTTTGCATCAGTTTTTCAATTTGGCAATTTTTTAATATTACAGATTTTCATTTTTCGATTTTTCAGTTTCTCAATTTTTAATTTTTCCCTTTTCCAATTTTTTGTTCTCGATTTTTATTTTTGATTTTCCCGTTTTTTTTTAATTTTCATTTTTTCGATTTTATATCACAATTTTCCTTTGTTTGGTTGCCTTTGTTTTTTGTTTCTTTCGATTTTGCCATTTTTTCTTTATTATTTTTTTCAAGTTTTTATTATACACTTTTTCGTTTTTTATTTTTGATTTTTCAATTTTACAATTTGTCGACTTCCAAATTTTCCAATTTTTCAATATTACGATTTCTCATTTTTCATTTATCACATTCTCGATTTTTAATTGTGCCCTTTTTCAATTTTCCGTCCCCTGACTTTTTCAACTCCCTGATTTTTATTTTTCATTTTCTCGATTTATATCACAATTGTCCATTTTTTCATTTCCTTTATTTTCTGTTTTTTTTTTCTTTCGATTTTACAATTTTTCATTTCTTCAATTTTTCACTTTGCAGTTTTTGGATTTCTAGTCTTCCGGTTTTCCAATTTCTTCAATTTTAAATATTTCTATTTCATAATACATATTTCTTTTTCTTTTTTTTTTTTGTCGATTCTTAAAATTTTTCGTTCCTTAAATTTTTCGGTTTGCATCAGTTTTTCAATTTGGCAATTTTTTAATATTACAGATTTTCATTTTTCGATTTTTCAGTTTCTCAATTTTTAATTTTTCCCTTTTCCAATTTTTTGTTCTCGATTTTTATTTTTGATTTTCCCGATTTTTTTTAATTTTCATTTTTTCGATTTTATATCACAATTTTCCTTTGTTTGGTTGCCTTTATTTTTTGTTTCTTTCGATTTTACCATTTTTTCTTTATTATTTTTTTCAAATTTTCAAGTTTGATTTTCACTTTGTACATTTTTCAAGTTTTTATTATACACTTTTTCGTTTTTTATTTTTGATTTTTCAATTTTACAATTTGTCGACTTCCAAATTTTCCAATTTTTCAATATTACGATTTTTCATTTTTCACATTCTCGATTTTTAATTGTGCCCTTTTTCAATTTTCCGTCCCCTGACTTTTTCAACTCCCTGATTTTTATTTTTTATTTTCTCGATTTATATCACAATTGTCCGTTTTTTCATTTCCTTTATTTTCTGTTTTTTTTCTTTCGATTTTACAATTTTTCATTTCTTCAATTTTTCACTTTGCAGTTTTTGGATTTCTAGTCTTCCGGTTTTCCAATTTCTTCAATTTTAAATATTTCTATTTCATAATACATATTTCTTTTTTTTTTTTTTGATTTTTCACTTTGTCGATTCTTAAAATTTTTCAATTTTGCAATTTCTCGACTTCCAAAATTTTCAATTTTTCGTTCCTTCAATTTTTCGGTTTGCATCAGTTTTTCAATATTACAGATTTTCAATTTTCGATTTTTCAGTTTCTCAATTTTTAATTTTTCCCTTTTCCAATTTTTTGTTTCCGATTTTTATTTTTCATTTTCCCGATTTTTTAATTTTCATTTTTCGATTTTATATCACAATTTTCCTTTTTTTGGTTTCCTTTATTTTTTGTTTCTTTCGATTTTACAATTTTTTCTTTATTATTTTTTTCAAATTTTCAAGTTTGATTTTCACTTTGTACATTTTTCAAGTTTTTATTATACACTTTTTCGTTTTTTATTTTTGATTTTTCAATTTTACAATTTGTCGACTTCCAAATTTTCCAATTTTTCAATGTTACGATTTTTCATTTTTCACATTCTCGATTTTTAATTGTGCCCTTTTTCAATTTTCCGTCCCCTCAATTTTCCAACTCCCCGATTTTTATTTTATATTTTCCTGATTTTTTATTTTTCATTTTCTCGATTTTATATCACAATTTTTTGTTTTTTCATTTCCTTAATTTTTGTTGTTTCTTTCGGTTTTCCAATTTTAAAATTTTTCACTTTGCAGTTTTTGGATTTCCAGTCTTCCGGTTTTCCAGTTTCTTTAATTTGAAATATTTCTATTTCATAATACATATTTCTTTTTTTTTTTTTCACTTTGTCGATTCTTAAAATTTTTCAATTTCTCGACTTCCAAAATTTTCAATTTTTCGTTCCTTCAATTTTTCGGTTTGCATCAGTTTTTCAATATTACAGATTTTCATTTTTCGATTTTTCAGTTTCTCAATTTTTAATTTTTCCCTTTTCCAATTTTTTGTTTCCGATTTTTATTTTTCATTTTCCCGATTTTTTAATTTTCATTTTTTCGATTTTATATCACATTTTTTTCTTTATTATTTTTTTCAAATTTTCAAGTTTGATTTTCACTTTGTACATTTTTCAAGTTTTTATTATACACTTTTTCGTTTTTTATTTTTGATTTTTTAATTTTACAATTTGTCGACTTCCAAATTTTCCAATTTTTCAATGTTACGATTTATCATGTTTCATTTTTCACATTCTCGATTTTTAATTGTGCCCTTTTTCAATTTTCCCTCCTCTCAATTTTTCAATTTCTTTTTTTTTTCGATTTTTATTTTGCATTTTCCTGATTTTTTATTTTTCATTTTCTCGATTTTATATCACAATTTTTTGTTTTTTCATTTCCTTAATTTTTGTTGTTTCTTTCGATTTTCCAATTTTTCGTTTATTCAATTTTTCAAATTTTCAGGCCAATCGATCCCAATTCGTCGATTTTCCAATTTTTAAATTTTTCAGTTTGCAGGTTTTGGGTTTCCACCCCTTTTTTACTTTTTGGATTTTCAATTTTTCGTTAAACTTTAGATTTCTCAAATTTTCGACAGTTTTATACTTCGATTTCGTATTTTTTTTTCAACTTTTCGATGTTTCAATTTTTGGATTTCTCGGTTTTTCGATTTTCCAATTTTTCGATGTTTCGATTTTTCAGTTATCCGATTTTTCAATCGGGGTTTATATTTTGACTTTTTTTCTTAATATACATAGTATTCTTTGATTAACCCGATTCTCAAAAGCATGTTTTTAATGTCTTGTAAAGAAATAAGTATTTTACAGTTAAGCTCCGCCCCCTTGGTTCACGGCGAATAAAAAAAATCATCACAATTGAGATAGGGCGGGTGGGCGGGCTTAAATTTTTCCTTTTTGTTTTAATATGTGTCGACTTCTTTTCACAACACGAAACTTAAAACATGTTTAGAATGGAAAATTTGTATAAGGAAATATCGAATAAGAAAAAAACAAGCCAAAAATTAAGCCCCACCCACATCCATCACAAGCTCAATTGTGATGAATTTTTCATTCGTTGTCAGACCGAGGGGCGGAGCCAAATTGCAAAATCGATATTTTCCTACAAAAATTTGCCATTTCAAACATGTTTTCTTGTTGTGAAAAGAAGACTAGACATATTAAGAAAAAAGGACAAAATGTAAACCTTTGAATTGACTTATTTAAAAGAAACTTTTGGAATCTACAGTCACAAGGATTTTTCTGTAAACAAGCAGAAGAAGATGCTGATGTTGACATAATTAATATCTCGATAGAAACTGCCAGAGATACTAATAAAACTGTCATAGTTGTGGGTCAAGATATTGATCTTTCGGTCCTTTTGAATCAATTGAAGAAAAACATCGCAAATTCATTGTCGTCTAATATATAAAATTCTCGTGTCACAGTGTGTGTAACCAAACTCCCCCGAAACGGCTTGACTGATTTTTATGAAATTTGCTGTCTATATTCGGTAGGTCTGAGAATAGGTCGTACACTATTTTTTATACCTCTAGGTGCCATCTTACAATAGGGTTGCAAGATGGCTGTTGAATATATTATCATTGTCGTACGATAAATTTTTATGTATAATTTATAATTTAATTTAATTATAATTTATTTATTTGTTTTAATTTAATTTTTTATTTAACTACTAAAATATTCACTAGAAACAATTTATATGACAAAACAACGTTTGCTGGATCTGCTAGTTAGACGATAAAAATTTGTCAAATTTGGCCAATATTTTTTATAAAAAACATGCAAACAAAGAAGATATCGCAAAAAATGGATTACAATTAATCCAATATATTTATAAACGTATAAATGACAATATAACCCTGAATCAATTAAGATCATTAATCAATTGGCAAGAATTAAATCATCTTTCATATTGACAAATCTCCCACCAACAGAAGGCGTTTGTTTCATGGATTTTCAATTTTTTGGTTTATCAATGTAACATGGAATCTTACTATTTTCGAGTAATTAAAGTGTAAATTTTAATAAATATCTCAAAATTTTACATGATTAAAAAAAAATTCCGAATTCGAGTTTTTTCGTTTTTTTGGATTTCCTGTGAAAATTTGCCATAGTAATGTATACTCTTTTTTACACCATCAGAAACTAGAGATTTCAACGAACAAAAAGCACACGGATTTTTTTAAAAAAGCTAACATTTTGACGTGAGAATTTTCGATTGAAAATTAGGGTGGTTTTTCGATATTAAATCAAAATAAGGGGAAAAAATAAATATTTTTAATCAAAAAAATTACAGTTAGTTTGGGACATAAATAGCCAAGTTTTCACCAAACTTCGTGAAAAAAAAAATTTTTTTGTGGGAGATAAAAATAAAAAACCAAATACTCGGTTATTTGCATTTTTCGTATAAATTTTGAGGTTATGCAAAAAAAGTCTAAATACAAAAGTTGTAGATCCTTTTATTACCTAGAACTCTGCCATTTAACTTTTTTCGATAGGACTTGTAGTTTTGCCGGAAATCGTGATCAACCGTTTTCTACCCTTAAAAGCTCACCCTCTTCCACTTCCCGACCTCAGATCGCCCGTAAATTATTTTTCCTCTTATTTTTGTTATATTTTCTTTCTTTTGCAATGGGTATCATCCTGATCTAAATTTTTTTCTTCTCAAAAATTATCGGCACTGGCCTAATATACGAAATTGACTGCCAATCAAACTACTACCTAGTTTATTCTATTTTTCGTATCTGTTGATCCATGCAAGAATATTAAAATTGTTTTTCTGAGTATCAAATTTTGCAATTTCAGAAATTACAAATGTGACAATTGCGACGCGGTTTTCAACTCCGAAGCTCTCCTCAAAATCCACAGCTACCTCCATGACTCGGACAGTTCGGACGAGCAAACGAATCACGTTTGTCCCAACTGTCAAAAGAAATTCCCGACGCAACGTCAACTGGTGACGCACGTCGCAACCCATGCCGTAGTTGGGGCCAAAACTATCCAACCGGAAACTTTCAAGTGCCCAGTTTGCCACAAAATGTTCGCTTTACGCGAACGGCTAAGGGTTGGTCTACCATTTTGCTTTTAATTTCTCTCTCAAACTTATTTTTACAGCGCCACATGTTGGTGCACGGCTCGGACGACTCCAAGCCCCTCCAGTGCAAAACATGCAACAAACGTTTCATAAACAATTCAGCGCTAGCGGGTCACTTGAAAACCCACTTCGTTGGTAAAAAAATCTTTGAGTGCCCTATTTGTAAAGAGAGCTTCGACCATGTGCTTAAGTTGAAGTTACACGTACCTAAACATTGCGAGAACAACCTCTACTCGTGCCCGCATTGCAATAAAGTGTTTAAGAAGTATAGTATCATTCGGAAACATATCAGGGCTTTTCATTGTGACCAGAAGCATCCTTGTCCGCACTGCGTCAAGATGTTTCCCACTTTGGATAAGTTGAAAATGCATTTGTTGCGTCATTCGGACCATAGGGAATTTTTGTGCGCCGATTGTGGTAAACAGTTCAAGCGTAAAGATAAGTTGAAGGAACATTGTAAACGGATGCATTCGGAAGAGAGGGAGAACGACGTGCCCAGACCTCAGAAACCGGTTTCACAACCGGTTAAGAAGCTGAGTCCGAAAACCGAACCGACGGATTTTCATCGGTTTATTTACAAGTGTCACACTTGTCTTGTCGGGTTTAAGCGACGAGGGATGTTGGTTAACCATTTGGCGAAGAGACATCCCGATATTAGTCCTGATTCGGTCCCGGAGTTAAACTTGCCGATTTTGCAGACCACAAGGGACTATTATTGTCAACATTGCGATAAAGTTTACAAGAGCAGCTCTAAGAGAAAGTTACATATCTTGAAAAACCATCCAGGGGCTGCGTTGCCTATGAGTAACCGGAAACAAGGGAATTTTCAGGATGGGTCTGGTTTGCCCAATCCGACGTTTTCGCAGACGGTCGGTAGTATCACTACCAGACCTCAGAATTGTAAATGGTGTCATAAACAATATGCGAGTAAGGCGAAATTGTTGCAACATCAGAGGAAGAAGCACAGCGAACAACTGGCGCAACAGAATGAGAATGAAGGGAAGGTGAAGGAGAGTAACGAGCAGAAGTATACGCCGCCGCAGCAGGGAGGGGGAGGAGGTGGACAAGTCGAAGACAATTGTTTACAAGAAGAGTTTAAGGTAATGTTACCAACTTTCGTTATATAGTTTGGCATTAAAATTTGTAGGTAACTGAGGCGGACATCCTGAATAGCGCCTTGGAGGAATATAATGGTGGCCGAGACGGTGAACAGTACTGTCATTTAATTGCAATAGCTGGCAACGATGGTTTTGAGCAAACCACCGACCTCAACGCTCCCAATTCTCATTTGTACCGCTTATTAACGACGAGCAATGGTAAGACTCGAAGTTTGTTATCATTTTTGTAACAATGCATTGTTTGTGTAGAACTCCCAGGCTTAGTTCCACCACGTTGAACAAAGAAGTCGAGAATTTAGAGTATTTCCGGTGCTCCTTTGTGAGATTTCCACTCAATGTATCCAATTGAGTGATTTTGATGCGAGTTTGTGCCGTAGGTTGAAACCTACGTATTTAATAAAAAATAACAAATACAAATAGAGGGAAGACAAGATGGTGATTTTTGGGAAACTGAAGATTATTTTTAAAGAATTTATAGCAATAATTGTCATTAATTGTAACAAAGTTAAACGAAACAAAATAGCACTATTTGTTTGGCTCGGCCGCAGCCACTTGTGTTTAGGTTAGGAATGAAATTTGTTTGGTCGAAGATTAACCACGTACGGTTAATATTTTATAGTGAGATTTGAAAATCGCAAACACAGTACTAACACTTTGAATTGTATTTTATGGTAAATTGTTTTTACTTAACTTTAGGGAAATGTACCCCTGTGATTGTTGAAGCCAAAAGAATCCGAGATTCATTTTTACCTTGCCGACTTTCCAAAGCGATAGTTTATTGTGAAAAGTGTAATGGAGTAACGTATATTTTTATGGAATTGTAAAAACAAAAATTGTTATCACGATAAAACACAAAAATAACTAGAAATATATTGTCTGCTTAAACCAATCTTTCATTAAAAGCTGTTGTTAGCCGGCCAGTGATCAGCATCATTCTGTATAAAAGCGTCGTCCTCCGAAGCGCTAGTCCCCGGTGAGGTGTACGACGTCTCCCCCACGCACGTATAATAACTGTCTCTTTTACTGAGCGACAAGTTCCGACCGATGTTATTTAGACCCTCCGACGCTCTCTGATTATTAGGATCGAGCCTCAACGCTATACTGTAGTGGTGGAAAGCGTCATCATCCTTCTGTAAGTTAACAAAACAGTCGCCCAGAAGCTGGTGAAGACGCGAAGATGGCGCATGCTTGATGTGCTTCAAGAGGAGCTCCCGCGCCTGGTCGTACTGCTGCTCCTGCTCCAGAAACTCCACCAACATGCAAACTGCATTCGTGGAGAAGGTCTTATCTTGACTTACGGCTTTCTCGAGCATCTTCCGAACGGTTTTTCCGGAAGTCATCGGGTCCTTCAGCAACACGGAGGCGTGCAACTGGAAATTTTTGTGATATGATTAATTCAATAAAGGTGTTTATTGTTGCTTCTAAAGCTTGTTTTTTTTTTTACTCACCGTGAGTGACTGCGGGCTGTAGTTCAACTGCTTGCAGGCGTTGGTGGCCATCGCTTCGGCTTCACGTAATCTATTCATCTTCACGTAGCACTCTACAAGACAGTGGTGCAAGTCGTACCGAAACGGGCAAATTTGAATAGCTTCAGTACAGTGTTGCGCTGCGTCCTGGTACTTATTTAATTCCAACAAAGTTTTAGCTTTTAGTAAGAAAGCTTCAATGTTTTTACAGTGTGAAGAACATAACGCTTGTTGCGCAAAATACACAGCTTTTTCATATTTTTTTGTGCTGTACATGCAATTACCCAAAACCACCCAGTGTTCAGTACTCCAGAGAGACATATCACATGTTGGCAACAATGTTTCAAGGTACTCAACATGTTCACTGTTCCCTGAAGTTGCTAACAACGTTGATAATAAGTCCCTTCCAAAGACTAAATTCTGATCAAGCTTCATAGCTCTTTGTAAAACTGAAATGGCAGTTGCGTCGTCACAAATATAGTGATAACAATAGGCCATATTTACAAGTACAGAAGTGTTATCTTTGAGAAGACCATGAGAATCCATACTTTTGTAAGTTTGAACGGCACTAGCAAATTCTCGAGAGTATAACTGAGCTTGAGCTTTCAGCCACAAATTTAACCAACTAATTTCTGTTGTAACGTCAGTCATTAAAGAATTAACTTCAACCCCTTTGATTCCTAATTTTAATAAATTCTCGACAGCTTCTAAAGCCAAGGGACATTCTCGCAGCACTTCTTTGTAACAAGTGATAGCAGATCTTTCCATTCCCCCATCTCTATACAAAGTGGCAAGTGCCATGTTCACTTTTGGTGTACGTGAACGAGCAGAAATTGACTGAAGCATCTCAACAGCCGCATTTACTTGTTTCAGCGCCAAACAACACTTGTGAATTTTATACCTAATCTCCACATCACTATTAAACTCAGTTTGGTTCTCTGGGAGTTTGTTATTTGTAGCTTTATTTTTGAGAAAGTTTTTGCGAATTTGAAGCGCTTGTCTGTATAAATTCTCCGCTTGAATGTAGTACTGGATATCATAGAGAGAGTCAGCGTACAGAAGTACTAACTGAAACTTGTGAATCGGTGACAAAGATTCTGGTTTTTGCTCAGCAGCTGAGAGAGCAAAGTCGCACTAAAATTACACTTTAAACACTCGTGTTACTTTAAAATAAAAATACAAACCACTCGAACGATGTTTGAATGTAGTTGGAGCTCATACATCGATTGTAACTGTTTTATTAAGCTACTCATTTTGATTTCGAATTATTCGATTCAATAACTGTCACAATTTGAGGTTACGTTTTTGAAAATTATAGTAACTTTTTGTGGTGGTGTTATAGTAACTTTTTGTGGTGGTGTAGTGGTAGTACTGCTAATTGTATCAGTTGTCAACGTTCACAAACGTAACGCAAACATTTTGTGCATAGACTTGTGTCTGGTAGGTATTTCCTTAAAGTTTTTAAGAAAAAATGGGTTCTAGTAGTAAAAAATACAAAGAAAAAGAGTGTCGTAAACGTCGGCATCGTAGCCCCAGTTATTCTGAGGAACATGAGCCCCCGAAAGAGAAGCGCCATCGCCACAAGAAACACCACAGAGACAGGAAACGCGAGAAGCCAAAACACGATTACGAAAGCGATGGTAAGTACTCAAAACTCCCCGTTTTTATTATTTTAACGCAAACCTTGAAGGCTCCGACGTCGTGGAAATCATCCCCGACGATGAACCCTCTGGGTCTGGCCAGAACAGCGAAAGTCTCTCCATTGACGAAACCAACAAACTTCGCGCAAAACTCGGCTTGAAACCCTTGGAAGTGCACACGAGTGAGAAGTCAGATAAGAAGCGCGACGATGGAAAAAAGAAGGATGATTGGGGCGAATTTTATCACAAGCCGGCGGAAAACTGGGCTGATAAAGCCGAGAGGGAGAAGCTGCGGGCGAAACTTGCCACCGCGAAGGAGAAGAGGCAGATGGAGTTGAAAATGAACCGAGTGAAAACTTTGGGGGATAGCGATAGTGACGATAATGTGGAAAATTGGGTTGATAAGAACCGTAAGATCGATTTGGCTAAGAAGGAGGCAGAAAAGAGGGCGAAAATGTTGGAGGAGTTGGACGAGCAGTTTGGGGTTAGCGAGTTCGTGGAGAACGAAAAGAGGGAGAAGAGAAGGCAACAATACACGGAGAAGAATCTGAAAGGGTTGAGAGTCGAACACGACATTGATAGTTTTGCAGAGGAGAGGGACGTGGTTTTAACGTTAAAGGACAAGGCGGTGTTGGATGAGGACGATGAGGATGTTTTGGTGAACGTTAACATGATAGATGATGAAAAGTATAGAAAGGTAAGGACTCTATGTTTATTTTTTGTTATTCAATATCAGATACTCCTATATCTGAATATAATTATTTTATTTTTTTTGTTAAGAACTTGGAAAATAGAAAGAAAAGGATTGTCTACAACGCATATGATGATCAAGAATATGATAAATATGGAAACCCCATTGACAAATCACTGCTTTCTCAATACGATGAAACTATAGATGGAGAAAAACGGGAGAGTTTTAAAATCGGTCACGACAATATCGCTGAAAGAAGACAAGCCGCCGTTCAATCAATCAAAGAGAAACTAGCCAAAAAGACTCTGGAATCAATTGAAACCAAAGATCTGAAACTAGCTTCTGAATATTACAATGATGAAGAGCTTGCAAAGTTCAAAAAACCCAAAAAGAAAGTGCGCAAAATTCGCGCAAAAGGAAAACTAACAGCTGATGAATTGGAACAACAGATTAACAATAAAGGGATTGAAGAAGTGGGATCGCGAAGACCCAAAATTAAACCAGATTTTGAAGATCTTAATATTGATGATGTACCAGGTAAAATCGGATGTTTTATAAAATAATCCGTTCTAATAGAATTTTTTTCAGACATTGAAATCCCGACTGATGTCAAGCTGGAGGACGACAAAGACGACATTCTGGAAAAAGCGCTCCACAAAGCCCGCAAAATTAAACAAAAGGAGAATTTAGTTGCGCAAATCTTGAAAGAAACACCGGTTAAAACAGAGCCTGAGGAAGGTCTTGACAATGGAAATATTGTCTTGAATGCCACTGCAGAGTTTTGTCGGACTTTGGGCGACATTCCGACTTACGGTAAATCGGGTAATCGTGAAGAATCCGAAGATTTGTTGGATTATGAGAAAGAATTGAAGAACGAGATGGAGGTTGATCAAAGCGACGAGGAAGAAAAAACCGGTTGGAATTCAGTGGATCCAAACGAGCCGCATGAGGTCGCACAAATCGCACCACAAGAAGTACAGATTTTGGATGAAGAACCAGATGTCAGCACTGGTTTAGGCGCAGCGCTTAAGTTAGCAATGAGTAAAGGCTACTTAGATAAAGAACAGATGAAGAGACCGTCAAACTCGAGATTGGCGCATCTTCAAGCTAAACATTACTCAATTGAAGACAAGACGTATGGTGATGAAGGGGAGAGGGGAGGGAATCGGAGGGAACGCTACACTGGACCCATTATGGAATTTAAGGAAAAGGATACCTTCAAACCAAACGTTAAATTGGAGTACATTGATGATGATGGGCATGTTTTGAATTCTAAAGAAGCCTTTAGATATCTGTCACACAAGTTTCACGGAAAAGGACCCGGGAAGAATAAGATCGAGAAAAGGTTGAAGAAGAGTATCCAGGAACAACTAATGAAGAAGATGAGTTCTACGGATACACCTTTAGGGACTTTGAATATGTTGCAGGCCAAACAAAAAGAGACACAGTCGCCGTTCATTGTTTTATCGGGAAATAAGCAAAGTCAGTCTACTGTTATTTCAAAAACGAGACGCTAGGTTTAGGGTTTTGTCTGTGTTAGTATATAATAATAAACTGGGTTTTAAGTTATTGTAGTTTTAATTAGACTTCCTGTAAATGAACGTAGAATTAATCAAGTTTTCACTCCATTTTTCATGTATATAGTTGTAACACATTAAAAATATATATCGTATACTATCGCCTGTGTATCAATTGCCGCCAACGCATCAAAAACAGGATCAAATCAGGTTGAAAAAATATATACAATCTTAAGATATTTATTCTACCCTATAAAAAAACACTTCCAAAAATACACGTTTCGTACTTACAACACCATCAACCTCGGCGCGATATTCATCGACATCAACTCCTGGAATAACAATTTCGCCGCATACGGCAGTCGTACTTGCGAAATCTGCGTCTTATTCTTACATCCCTTACACTCAAACGTGTTGTTTCTCATATTCGCGATCGCGATCAATCCGCAGAAATTGCAAACATGTATCCTGTACTGATCCGAGACTTCAAACAATCTCTCCCTTAGGAACTGTGCCGCTCCGTGCGAAATCTGGCAATCCCGCTCCATCTCCCCGAAACGTAGACCACCGTCCCTGGCCCTACCTTCCATGGGCTGTCTTACTAAAATCTGCACTGGTCCTCTCGCTCTCGAGTGAATTTTATCGTCCACCATGTGCTTCAAACGCTGGTAGTATGTCGGTCCTAAGAAAATCTGGGCGTTGATTTTTCTGCCCGTGTGTCCGTTGTACATGACTTCGTTGCCTCTCAATTGATAACCGTACTCTTGTAAAAGAGTGGAAATTTTTTGTACGTTGACGGCGTCGTTGAATGGAGTCGCGTCGCCGATTTCGCCCTTGTTGGCAGAGACTTTTCCTTGGATGCACTCGATCAAGTGACCGATTGTCATACGGGAGGGGATGGCGTGGGGGTTGATAATGATGTCGGGGGTGAGACCTTCGCTGGTGAAGATCATGTCCTGGGGGTGTAGAATGATTAATTAGTCTCACTTTTATATAGATTATAAATCTAGTTAGATAAGATAGTAGTTAGCTAGGAAATGAAAGAATACAAATAAGACAGATTTTGAAAATAAAGAAGAAGAGAAGTTGTAGAAAATATTTACAATGGATTTTAACAAGCCGGCAGCTTTAAAACTTGATGGCAACCTAAAGGAAAACTTTAGAATTTTTAAACAAGAAATTGAGGTTTTTTTATGCAACTGAGACGAGAAGTAAAGTGATGAAAGTACAAGTAGCTAGACTTTTGAATTTAATGGGAAGGTGGGCGGGGTCATTTGGAGTTTTTTTGGAGTTAATCTTAGATTTTACCACTTGCTAAAATAAAATCCTCATCTCACAGTAAATTAAATAAGCCAATGATATTTTGTAAAATCAAAAAATTTTAATATCGAAAGATAGAAAAATTGAAAATTTTAAAATTGAGAAATTGAAAAATTCGAAAGTTGAAAAATCAAAAAACTGAAAAATCTAGTAGTATTCGCTACGATAAGACTGAATCTGGCAAATGATCTACTGTTCTAAAAAAATAAAGGGTGGGTGGGCGGGGCTAGTAATTGTCAAGATGAGACTGATTTTGGCAGATGACATATCCTCGAAGAAAATAAGGGTGGGTGGGCGGGGCAAGTAGTCGGTAAAAATTAAAAAAATTAAAATTCAAAAATCGAGAAATTGAAAAATCGGAAAATCAAAAATTGAAATATCGAAAAATTAAAAAAAAACAAATCTTATAAAATTGAAATGAAAATTCCAGTTTTCATTTTTTTTAGTTATTAGATTTTTCAACTTTTGAATATTTCATTTGATAATTTGTTTGACAATTTTGCAGTTTTTAATTCCAATCTTTTGATTTTTCAATTATTCAAAAGCAGAGGGGAAGGGGTTAGTTTTAACTTTACTGTCTGGCTTCCACTATTTGTCAATATAAAAACAACCTTTCGGCCAATTAAATGAGTGATCAAAAAAGAAAACGGGATCAGAGGGCGGGACCACTTTGAAGGTTTTTTTTTAATGATAGATTTTACCACTTGCTATAGAATAAAATCAAGTTTTCATCTCAGACTAAATTAAATAAGCCAATGAAATTAAAAAGCGGAGGTGGGTGGGGTTAGTTTTACCTTTTTTTGTCTCGATTTCACGATTTATCAATATAAATTCCACTTTTCGTCCAATAAAATGAGTGATCAAAAAGAAATCAGGGTGGGTGGGTGGGGCAATTTTGAAGTTTTTCTTTAATCTTAAATTTTACCACTTGCTAAAATAAAATCCTCATCTCACAGTAAATTACATTAGCCAATGATGTTTTGTGAAATTAAAAAATTGAAATTCGAAAGTTGAAAAATCGAAAAATTAAAAAGAAAATCAAAAATCGAGAAAATAAAAAAACGAAAACTGGAAAAATCGGAAAACTGCCAAAATTCTAAAATTAAAAAATCGAAAGTTTTTTCAGTTGCCCAGAGAGATCAAAAATCAAAAGACCGATCAAAAAGTTAAACATTTAAAAAGCGAGAAATTGAAAAATTCGCTACGATAAGACTAATGTTGGCAAATGATTACTCTTCTAAGAAAATAAAGGGTGGGTGGGCGGGGTTAGCACTTGCCGAAATAAGATTGATTTTGTTATATAACACTTTAAAAGTAAGCAAGAGGGAAGATTTTACAGAAACTGAAATTTTAGACAAGTTACAGAAGTATTACATACCCAAGAAGAATGAAATAATTACAAAATTTTTAACAGAAAACAGAAAGAATACGAAAATTTTGACAAGTTTGTGACAGATTTACGAGAATTAGTAATTGAGTGCGAATCTGGCGACTTAGAAAGGAAGATGTTGAAAACGCAAATAGTTTTTAGTTTTTTCTTAATTTAAAAAATCATATTTTTGTGGAAAATCAGTTATTATATTGTGAAAACAGGTTAATTCAAAAGTACAAGGTGTTACTAATACCATGAGAAAAAATTGGTTGAAAGTTATTTCGATAGAACTTCCCTAGCCCCTAAAGTATAGTCGAACAAATACAACTTCCAAAAATTATTATCAATTTTTTTTTCATCGTATCTATATCTTTATAGTCAGTTTTTCCATATAATTTTTTTTGATAACATCATTAACATTTTAGCAAGAGCACATATATCGATTTAGTATTAATAGACTCCTTAGAATTCTCGAAATCTTTGAAATTTAGAGAAGACGTATTTGGAATATTTTCACAAATTCAGTAAAATGATTAGAATTTCCAGAAGTTCCACATTTTCTAAATGTTATAAAAACATCAGTCTTCGGATATGCCAGAATTCAACATTTTCCTCAGTTTTCAAGATTTCTAGGTCTTCCAGATTTTTCACTTTCTAGATATTTCCAGATTTTCTAAAATTAATAGACCCCTTTAAATCTTTGAAAGTCTCTGGAATCTTTAGAATTTCTGAGATGTATAAGATAATAATTAGGGCGTTCAAGACCCCTAATACTTGTAGGATTTATAAAAATTAAAATAAGCATTCTTCGGATTTTGACGATTTTTAGACTTAAAAAGTTTAAAATGTTAAAAGTTTAAGCGTTTTTTACAAATTACAGAATCTTTGAAATATTTGGAACAGAATTTTAAAAACCTTTTTAATGTTTGAGTCCTTAGAGTATTTAGAATCTTAAAGTTTTTAGAGTCCTTAGAGTTTTAACAATCTTTGGAAATTTAGATACTTCAGAATTACTAGAAATTTTATAAAGTTTATAATTTTTATAATTTCTAGGAACATTAATACTTCCAAGATCTTTACAATTTTCAAGATTTTGTTGGATGTTTCTTCTATTTAGAATCTAAAACTTTGTTTATTTAGCATCTTTGGTATCTTTATAATTCGCAAATTCTAGGTATGAAAACTTCAAGATTTTTAGAATGTGTCGATGTCGAGTCTTTAAAATTTTTGAAAGGTTTGAAACCTTTTAAATATTTCAAACATTTGGAAACTTTCGAATTTTTAGAATCTCCACATTCTTAAGATTTTGTAAACTTTTGAAATTTTGAGATTCAATATTTTTTTATTTTCTATTAATTTTTGGGAATCTTCGTAATTTGCAAAATTTTCCAAATTTCTAGGATATTCAGATTTTCCAAAGTACACAAAATGACCTGAATTTCCACATTTTGCAAAATTTCTAAAATTATCACACTCCAGTTATACCAGAATTTTGAAATTCAACCTTTTCCACTATTTTCAAGATTTCTAGGTCTACCACATTTTTCCCACTCTTTATAAATTTTTTGCAGATTTTCTAAAATTTATAGATCTTAAGAGTCTAAATGTTTGGAATTTTTGGAATCTGTGGAATCTTTATAGTCTCCGAGATTTATAAGATAATAATTAGGGTGTCCAAGGCCTTCAGTGTTTTTAGGATTTATAAAAATTAAAGAAAGCATTTTTCCTATCTTTACGATTTTTGGGTATTTTGTATTTTTCTTTTACGAGTTTACGCGATTTTTACAAGTTTTAGAAACTTTCATGTATTCGAAACATAATTTTAGCTTTTGGCCCCTTAAGGTCCTAAGGAAGTCTTTAGAATCTTTATGAAAATTTTGAACACTTTGGGAATTACTAGGAGCCTAAATTTTCTGCAATTTCAAGGGTCATTAATACACCCAGGTTTTTTAAAATTTTTAAGATTATGTTGGATCTTTTTTATATTTAAAACATTAGAACCTTAGTTTATTTAGAATCTTAAGTGTCTGTACAATTCGCAATTTCTAGTGTATGTAACCCGTGAAAGCTTTTATACTTTTTGAATCTTTCAAACCACTGGAAACTTTGGAATATTTAGAATCTCTAAAATCAGGAATCAATAGAATTTCTATAAACTTTAGAGCTTTCAGATTTTCATTATTTTTAGATACTTCAGTATCTCTAGAATTTTAAATATTTTTAAAGCTTTAGGATTCTGTGGAAGCTTCCAAATTTTTGAAATTCCTAAAATCCTTGTAGTTCTTACAGTTTTTGGCATCCTTGAAAGCCTTAAAACCTTTGAAAGGGTTAGAATACTTGGGACTTTCACAACATTTGATCTTTCCACAAATTTGATCAGAATTTTAGGATTTCTGTAATTTCTAGAATTAACATTATCAAACAAATTTTGGTTAGAGTATTACCATCTACGCAATATTCCTAATATACATACAAAAATTGACACAAACGACGGAAACAAGAGACCTACATTTTCGTATTCTAGGGGTCATAAAACGTCAATTTTCGGGAAAACGGAGTGAGCCGTTCCCGATTCAATCAATAAAATAAACTGACTCGTTCATTAATTTTTATGAGTCACCCTGTATTAGAAATTTAAAAACTTTTAAATGCAATGATAAATCACATGTTTAGACTCATCACATTTTGCACATTTTGGATACGCAAAATTTTGAGTTGACGTCATCAATTTGTTGGAAAGGGTAAACGAATAAATTTTGCTGAACGATTTACCATGATTACGATAATCTTAAAATATTTACAAGATTTCAAAACAATCGGTTTTGCAGTTTCAAAATTATATTGCAAAATATTGTTATTCAGTTTTGATTTTTTTACAAAAATTCTGGATGTCAAGGTAAAAATTCGACACGGATTCACACACCACAAGTGCAGGCGTATCTTATTTTGTAAAATTTAAAAAAACTTTTTATTATAAATTTTGGAGATGTTTTATATAGATTGTAAATCTAGTTAGATAAGATAGTAGTTAGCTAGAAAACGAGAGAATACAAATAAGACAGATTTTGAAAATGAAGAATAATATAAATTTAAATATAGGAAAAGAGTGAACTTACTTCTTGACGGTATTGAATTCCGCAGGTTCCTTTCTGTCCGTGACGTGAGGCGAATTTGTCGCCGATTTGTGGAATACGGACTGACCGGACACGAATTTTGCAAAACTTGTACCCTTCGGAGTTCAGGGTTAACATTACTTGGTCCACTACACCGGTTTCGCTGTTGCGGAGGAAGGTGGAGGCGTCGCGTTTGGTAAAACGTTTAGTTGTGCCATCGAGCTAAGAGAAAAAGTTTTTAAATAAATTTAATATATTTTAAACACACAGTATATTAATTTTACCTCGTCGTCGTTTTCCGGCAAAGTCATCGTCTTCCCAATTACTACATCGTCACCAGAGACACGAATCCCGGGCGAAATAATACCATCGTCGTCCAATTTATCATACAGGGCGTTACGCATACCCTGGCATGTTTGACGTGTGGGTTTCTCAAACTGCTCTTCTTGATCTCCTATTCTCTTGGACTCTGCGTCTTTATAAGAACGGTAGAACACAGATCTATAAAAAAATACTTAGTGTTTTGGAATTGTGAAAATTATTAGTGACAACCTAAAGAATCCTCTTTCCACGGCAGATGCATTCAAAATAACGGAATCTTCCTGGTTATAACCTGTGTAGCAGGCAATAGCGACAATACTGTTAATTCCTGCTGGTAACTCTCTAAACCTAAGGTATTCCATGGACCTTGTGGTTACCAGTGGTTTATGGGGGTAGTACAGAACGTGAGCTAGAGTGTCCATGCGGACATGGAAGTTTGTGATGTACACACCCATGGCTTGTTTACCCATAGCGCTCTGCAAACCAACCCATTACACCATTTTTTAACATATTTTTAATTTAAAGACATACTTGATAAGTATTCCTAGGACTCTGGTTGTGATCCGGAAACGGAATAATAGACGCGCAAACACCCAAAATCATCGCCGGGTGAATCTCACAATGCGTATACGTGGTACAATAAGCATACTCTTTCTCCTGCCTCAAATCATCCGGCGACATAGCAATCATCACGGTTTCTTCCTCCAAAGTATCTATATATTCGACAACACCAGAGGCCACCAAAACCTGCCACCCGTAATTATTGTACTCTCTTTCCTTCAACATGTCAATATGTCGCTTCTTCAACAACAAAGATCCGTTTTCAACAATCAACAACGGCCTACAAATCCTCCCAGCGTCAGTATAAATCCTGATTTCTCTATCCCTGATGTCCCGAATCATGGACACCTCAGACACTATAATATCCATCTGTCGCCTCAACTTCCTCAAAGTCGCCATCAACTGCTCCGGATCTCTATGAATCCCAACCCAGCACCCATTAACGAAAATCTTAGTCGCGTTAGCGATCGCAGACGGTGCGATTTCCTCCAAGTTCTCCATAGACCACTCCTCCAAGAACTCCAAAATTGGAGAAGGTTGCGATCCTACTGATATATACGCCATGAGAGCAAGATTCTTGACGAGACCGACAGCAGCGCCCTCTGGAGTTTCAGCGGGACATATCATACCCCACAAGGTATTGTGGAGCTGTCTGGGTTTAGCCAACTTTCCGTCACGACCAATGGGGGAGTTGACGCGTCTCAAATGGGACAAGGTTGAGGCAAAAGTCAACCGGTTAAGTACCTGGGAGACACCGGCACGAGCTTGATGGGCTTTTTTCTGGTCGCCCCAATTACCAGTAGCTAGAGAGTAACGCAAGCCATCTGTGATCAATTTAGTTTTAATGGCGAGGTCCAAATTGAAGTCTTTTCCTCTATCAATGAATTTCTGTGCATACATTCGTACTTCTTTCATTAGGTTTTTGAAGAGTCCTCGGAACAAGAAGGCGAGTAGAGGTCCGGCTAAATCCAATCTTTTGTTACCGTAGTGATCGCGGTCGTCTAACTCGCGCCGACCCAGCGCAGCCAAGAGCAATCTATGTACCATGTACCCCAAAAAGTACGCTTTTTTGGTTTCACAGAAGTCGGAGACACCCACATGTGGCAACATTTCCTTCTGGAGAATTTCTCGGGCGTATTTTACACGTTTCTCTTTAGTGACTCCAGGTCTTGCCCCTCTGCTACCAATAAAATTCAAAGCTATGTTCTGTTCCTGGATTACGAAAGCTTCGTCGAGGGATGGTTTCACCATCTCCATCATCTCAGGATCCTCGAAATCGTAAATAATGTGTTCTAGGATATCACGGTCAGCCACAAACCCCAACGCTCTGAATACAATCATGATCGGAATTTCTTGCTTAATGTATGGCAAGATTGCAATGATACGTTGACCAATCGCTGCTTTCTTTATCGCTTGACCACCTCTAGCCATCATATTCACCCAAAGAGTAGACGTCGGTCTTGAACTATGTTCCAAACATGACCTAATTTCAGACTTGAATGCATACTTTCCATCCTTCATTGAAAAAACGTACACCGTATTCGTGGCCATTTTTTCCTGCGCAATCAAAACCTTCTCAGACCCGTTAATAATAAAATAACCCCCGGGATCCAAAGGGCATTCGTTTAACTCAGTCAAATCACGATCAGTCAAACCATTCAACAAACAATACGTACTCCTCAACATAATCGGAATTTTTCCAATAAACGTCTTTTGGTGTTGAGTTTCAATAGGATCCTCTCCATCCTTGACTATCGTTTTTGTAATATCCACATACAGCGGCGCTGAATAGGTTAGGTTTCTCAAGCGCGCTTCATTTGGCATCATGGGTGAAGGAGCACCATCTTTCTCCCAATGGGTGGGTTTGGAAAGATAAATTTGTTCGAACTTTAGTAAATAGTGGGACGGGTTTTCTAGTTCTCCACTGGTGTGTTGAGCTTCGGCTTGCAGATCTATTTGGGGCGAATCTTCCACGATACGTTGCACGGACATTTGGATAAACTCGTCGAAACTGTCCAGTTGCTGCCGGACGAGACCTTTTTCGTCAAAGTAGGCGTTAATAACGATCCAACAAGCTTCTTGCCACAGCTCGGAACTGATCTCTTCGGAGTCTTCATCGTCGAATTGGTCTGAAAGGGGTGAATTTGGTTTGAAGGGGGTGATGAGGGTTTTAATAACGATAAATTACCTTCATCTTGTTCGTATATGTTCATTGTGAGACAAAATAAGGGAAATACACTGGATTAGACACACACAACACAAACAAGTTGATGTGCGGCTGTTAACTGTCAAGTTTCAGGATAGGCAACGGTTAGTGTTTTTAGGGGAGGGTAAGAAATTCCCAGATTAATAAACTTTCTTAATGCGAAAATAATTATTAAAATTATGTTATTTATTAAGAGAATTATGTTTCGTGACCAGTTTTTCACTATAATGATTATACAATAATCACTTGATGGTGCAACATTATTGAATTATTATCAATGACGCTGCAATAAAGGCGGGAATTTTAAAAATTTTCGACATGACTGAATGTACAGGTTGTCCCACCACAGATAACAACGTGATCGCTTATTGTTCACATAAATTTGAATTTATGCGATATAATAATGTAAGAAAAACCCCTTGATAATCGTAGAAATAATATATTACTTTATTAGGAACCATTCCATTTATTTTTGACAAAACTTTTATAGAAATAAATAACTACAAACTAAGAGTATTATCAGACTGTTGGTAAATTTCGCTGTGTTACTTCCATCACTGCTACCAAAGAAAAACAGACTTTTCTTTTTACCTACAATAAAAACGATTAGTACATACATCAATATTCAGCCTCCATCATACTTTTGTCATTAGGGTCATTCACACTGCACGGTTTATAAGAAACTTTACTCTTTCTTTTCGTATTTATATAACCTGGAATGTACAAAGTTGGCGCATCCAAACGCCCTGAAGCAAGCAATCTGCTGAAATCTTGTTCCAGCCGATTAGCTAAAGGACCCTTAAAATGTAACAATAACTGCACGCACGCATTTGTGTGCAAAGTTTTGGTTTTTCTGGAATCCACAGTCAAAAACCAGTCGGGAATTCCCAGAATTGATCGAATGTCTTCGATAAATTGTGCCCTAAAATAAGAATGCAATATTTAAAATACATCTCTTCAAAGATTATTTCAAAAAACTTACACAACAAACCGCGGCGGCTTTTCAATATTGGCATATTTTATAATATCATAATCGGGTTCAATATTTGCGCAAGCGTAACGCTCGGGTTGTCGATTCGGGCTCAAAATCACGATAGAGCGGCCAATTGCAGTAACCTCACCTTCAAGCGGGAAATTTGAATCGGTGAAAACTTTACGGCGAAGACCGATGTCTATGGTGCCCAGTCTGGCGGAAAGATCACCCACGTGACACCGCAGGGGGTTTTCAGGGCCGCATTCTTGTCTATAAAGCTCCCCCTACAATCACAAAGCTGTTTCTAAGTCAATAAAAGTTGAAAGAGTTACATTGAGGGGGTCCGCAAGCTGTGTGAAAAAAGGGTTCCAGATATAACCCCCGGCCACACATCGAGTGTTTTGGGTCTTTACTGCCGCGTCCACACCCACGGGATTAACATAAATTGCCCAGTCATGGTCTCTGGTAATATTGCGATCATTCTTGCCTGGATACCTTAGTTTGACTTCAATAGTGGTGTCGCTTTTACTACCGTCGTTATAAATTAGTTGTCTCTGAAATTAATGTTGGTATTATTTTGGCGTTAAGTGGATAGGGATAAATACCATTTTCATGTAGCCATAAGCGTACCCTGATGGGTGATGGAAGGAAGCAATTGCGCGCAATTCTCGGGCTTCTGAAGGACTGTAGCCTCGCTCAATGGTAGAGCAAGCCCATCGTGACTTATCCTGAAAGAAGAAAATTAAATAATAAAAAATATAGAGTCCAAAGAAATTTTTTCAGTTTACCGTTTTGTGGATAAGAATTGAACGTCCGAGGATACTTCGGGGCCCAAATAGTGGTAACATGGTATCATTGTAGTAATCTTTGTATATCGTTTGGTTATCAAGAGCGCCAAATTTTCCGCTTAGATCACCCATTTCGTACTGATCTGGAGTACCGTGATATGTTCGAGGGGATGACGCGGGATCAACATTTAGAGGATTCCAGTGATCATACAATGTTGAGGCTTCGCAAGGAAACTCGAGATTTTCCTCTACAGGTGTCTGTAACATTCAAATTATCGATTTTCTCCATGTTGATAATAGTACTTACTATATGAATGTGGTATCCACTATTGTCCACCAGTCCTTGCAGATTCACCTCAACGTTAGTTATATCATACTCAGTCTGCTGATAAAACTCAATCTTCCCGCTTACTGAAATCGGGTTTCCATTTGGAAACCACTCTTTAGCGACAGCTTTACGTCTATACACACCACCAATTCTAAAATATCATAAATAAGAAAAAAAACTCCATGTCGCGAAAATTTACATTGAACAAGCCAAACGTTCACCTCTAGCTTTCGGCCCAAAATCATCAAACAACACCAACGACTTTCCCAAAACACTGTGATGTCCCGTTAACGGCAAAAAAGAGTCAGTCCACATTTTCCTAGAAATTCTGTCACTATCAACAATTTTCCCCGAAATTTCGATCGTTCCAAGCCTCGTGGACAGATCACCAACACGACATAACCCAATCGACTCGGTACTGCAAGGAATATCGTTCGTAGTGTTCTCAAAATCGATCTGATAAGGGTTGTAAATAGCGCCAGTACTCAGACAACGCTCCTTCCAACTGTAGAAATCTTTGCCTGGTGGTAGATCATGAATAGCCCATCTATGGTTTGCTGAGTTGTTCAAAGTAGCACCATCTGCATGCACTAAATACTCGATCAGAATCGAGGTATCACTCCAAGGTTCGTCTTTGACTTGTCGCATGATCATTCGTCCGACTGTGGGGTAGCGAAAGATGACCTGGGCGGTGAAAATTGGTTTTTGGTAGAGAAAGTTGGGTTCGTAGAGGCTGATGCTGCCGCAAATCCATGGTTCTGGAAGGATACCGGTTTCTGGATATTGCGTGTTTCTGAAAATTACACAGTAGAGTTTGTTGACGACTAAAAAAAAGTAAAAGTGGTACTTGTAGATGACGAGCGAGCGGTGAATAATGGAATATTTTCCTTGAACTGGTAGAAAAGTGTCCCAATATAAGCCACTAAGTTCTTGTCCTCCTTCCACTAAAACTGTCGCGTTGTTGCGCCCTAATAGTTTCCCAGAAAGGTCACCCAGTGGGTACTGATTTTGAGTACCTAATCCTATAAAGGAAAGTTTTAGGGAGAAGTTTTTACAATGAGACTTTTACCATTTGGGGGGATGTTGTTATAGTCGGTTTTCAACGGATTGTAGATGAACTTCGTGGTCAGGCACGAATTTTCGTTTTGGCCTACAGTTTTTGAGGGTTTGATGGGCAATTCGTGAATTCTGTAACCGGCCACTGACGAACTATACACTAGTCGAGTTTCCAAATCTCCTCTGGCTGTGGTAAAGTTAAAATTGATAAAAGTGGGTTCAAACCTGCTGTACTGAGTAAGAGTGACATCCCCTTTGATTCCACCGGATTGTATAACCACCCTGTATCACCCAATATTAATTTTAGTAACTGCGCATTATTTTATACTCACTTGGCGTTAGTGGGATGGTCATATCTAATTTTGGCGCAGGCTAAAAAGGCGTCTTCGTGTTTACGTTCGAAGATCACCAAATAGAGCCTTCTCTGAGGGCCGGACAAATCACTCGGCAACAGGATTAATTGGTCGTCTCTTAACAAAGTCTTGTATCTATTTTGGGTGTAATCAGTCGAGATTTTGACTTTGCCAAGTCGCGAATCAATATCACCCAACGCCTTGCCCTTCCCTGCGTTATCCGGATCGTACACTAATTGGAGGATATTGCAATCGGGACGATCTTTCTCCGCGTCGAGAATATCCGTGGCGTAGATTTTCCACACGTGTTCCGTAAACGGTACACTTTCACTGGTGTTTTCTTTATTAGCGACTTGGTATAAATCCGCAGTGATCAACATATCGTTGTGGTTGTCCTTCGTTGAGAACCACCTAAAGTGAACGTTACCAGAAACGGGTGAGTTGAATCTCGCCACAGCGATTTTTTCTTGGGTTTTGTCCACCATGGTGATGGTCGCACATATGCGTTTTTTTGTTTCAGTTTCTGTTAGCAGAAGAGATTTGCCATAAATTCCTGAATCGCCGTTGATTTTGAGATCAGAAGTTACGAACTCGGAGGTACTATTATCAGGGAGCATCAAGTACCCGTAGATGTCGTCCAAATTGACTAATTTTTTTCCCAGCTTGTTGCTTTGGCATCGATTTTCTAGTTCCGTGTAGTCCACGGGGAACTCCACCACAGACCACGACCATACTTGATTGGGGTACTCAAGGGTCGCGTTTAGATCCGTTGTTATTTTGATTTGGGTGCCGACTTTGGTAAATGAAATGGTACCGTGGAGACCATGATCCGAAATATAACTTTTCAGTTCCAGAGAAGCAACTACAAACCGTGAGATTTCTTTGTAACTTTTTTCACATCCTTCTTACTTATGTAATTAATTAATTAAAATAAAAGAGCGCTTTGATTAGCATTGTGGGAAAACCCATGACAGTACCGAAAAATATTTTTTTCTCACCTAATTCGAAGAAAAACCAAATCACGAAACATTTCATCACTCCCATTTTTGTATTCGATTTCGTCCGCGAAAACCGTCACATTTTGCACCACAGGCGTCCTCGTTCTTCTCCAGATGGTACGAAACTACTGAATGCGCTACACAAATGGAAGTAAATTCGATATTCTCGATGAATAGAAAGCGGGAACTGACTAATCATATAGTAGACCATACTTACTACCAACGGTTCTTACCTGTGCACGCTGAATGAATACATACCTGTCTGTTAGACGAAGAGGGAAAGTTGTTGTGGAGCAGAGCCGGATTAAGAGGGGACCTTGCGACAGTTGGATGTTGGATTGTCTTGCTTCTTGCAATGACGAGGAGAAAGGAACAGCGAGCGACACTGGTCACTGTGCTACATCTTTTTTTTTACATATAGCACGTACTACGACTTCTAATATAACTCAAAATTTTTTATTCAATTTCTCCAGTTGCTCATGAAGATAACTGTTAATAATTTTCGAGTCTATTGTGTTTATAGAAACAGGATCAAACATGAAATGCGTAGAAAATTCCTTTGAGAAAAAATATACAATGTAAGTGAATAGGACCGGCACCTGAAATGTTCCCTGAGGAATGTGTGAAGTGCGGTTCTGGGTTTTTGACGCTATCTACCTGAATTAGGGATGGTATGTAATTTTACAAATATTTCGTGGTCATTTGTATTCGTTTAGGGCCTTCTCGATCTTTTATGTCAGCCTATTGAGCCGTGGTGAGCATCTGGTCCAGATAATAGAAACGGTTGGCGAAATTGCTGGAAATTAAGAGGACCTCGATTTTATTAGAGACTGCAGGGGAGGATTTTAGCTTATGGGTAGGGAAAATAAACGCCCAATTCTTGCTTTCGTGTTTTTAAAGATATTTTATTTTATGATTTGAACAATAAACATTTATTTTTTAAAAATCTTAAAAATGTGGAATTATATATCCCTACATACTTTACCTTTATGAATCCCCTTATTAAATGCTTTCAGAAACGATATTTGGTATCAATTTTGAAAACTTGATGTCATCTCAAAATTTTCTTACTAAAATTAAAATATACGTAAAACGTGCTTGCTTAGATATAGTTTAATTCACTTCTATCTTTATTTGAACTTATAAAGGGTGGCATAAAAAAATAGGAAGTTGGACATGTATGCTTCGACTTTTGGGTCAAGGGAAACTTTGCCTAAATAACTTTCGACCAATTTTTTTCCTTGTTGATTTACTTTGAATTCGTATTAAAAACAGTTTTGGTTTAATAATTTATACTTTCAAGACTGTTCGAGTTGCACTGCTTGTTATCATTTATAAAATATTATTTAAACGCGGAATTTATTCCCACCGTTCGCGTTCTCCTAAACAGGTTTTAGGTGTTCTCAAGGCTTTGTTTCTTTTCAAAAAAACCCACTGTTTGCTAGGATTGTAGTTATTTATTTCAGTTCGAATAAAAAAAAAATTAAACCAGAACTGAACTGGTTACAAATATAATAATTTCATGGATTACGAGTTATAAATTTACAAATAAATTTTATTCGTTATAAAAAAATTGGCTAAAGAAATTGTACACACACTCAAAACGTTGACCTGATGCTTGTCAGGCCATGAGGGGTCAGGTCAGGTTCGGTCAGGTCACATTTCTTTGGTGATAATTTTTGTCAAAAATTAGTCAATAAAGTTAACTCTGATTCATTTTTTTAAAGTTATGTAAAAAATTCTACCTATAAAATAATTAAAAAAAGATGAGACTGCACCAACTTATATGTGCTCACTGCGCTTGTATGTACTCTCGAAGTTGATTTTTTAAGTATATTTTAATAATGTAAATAGCCTTACTGATGATGTTCTTATGAAACCACATTATTCCTAAAAAGCGCAGCGAGCACGTTTAGGTGTTATTAAAAATTACTCGTCAGTGTTCCTGAGAAACTAAATTATTAGTAGGAGAATTTTTTTATTGTCTAAAAAAGTGAACCCTTCCCTGAGACTTTTTCCTGCACATTTCTATGAGAATACAGTTGAAAAAAAAACGTTTAAAATGCGAGCGCAGCGTAATTTCTCGATGTCTCTGGGAAGCTAAATTATTATTAGGGGAACGTGGGGCAAAAAGGTCATAGCAGGCAAAGTGAACACTTGCTTAATTAAAGATATCTTCTTGAAAAAAATATTTTTTTAAATTATTAATAGATGATTTTTTGTCGCTAGATGTCGCCAACAAAAATTTTTAAATTTTGCGCACAGTGTTCTGTTGTTAATGTGCGTGTGCCTGTTGGTGGTCTCAAAATGGTAACTTTTTATGTACATGTGTAAGCTTCAGCTAAGATGATGTTGTATATTTATGATACTACATTATCTCATGTTATAGCCCTGACATTATTTTATTGATATATTGTAAAATTTAACTGTATACGTTCATGTTTCAAGAAATATGACCGGAAATATCTTTGAAGTACATTTTGGGGCAAACTGGACCATCGTATTATGGGGCAAACTGAACCAGGTAAAACTGCGGTACTGACGGGAAGTCCTTATACAAAGGAACTTCAAGAAAATAGGACTATCCTCAAAGAAACAACCAAAATTCCTAACAAAAGACTGACATTTACCAAAAATGATTCGAAAAATAGGGAAGACGATGCTGCATGTATTTATTGTAGTTCCCTGTTTAGCGACCCTAAGACTAAAGAAAAATGGGTCCAGTGCACAAAACGTAAAAATTGGGCTCATGAAGATTGCTCAGGGTTTAACAAAAAAATGAAAAATTTTATTTGTGATATTTGTGCCCAAAAGCCTATCAATTGTTTATATTTTTTGTTTGTATTTTATAAAAGATATGTTATTGAGTTTTAATGGAATTTTGAAATAAAGTGTTGTATATTTTTTCAAAATTTATTGTACATATTTTGTACTTATTTTTATGATTTTCTATTAATATGTCCACTTTACCCAATCAGGCAGACCACTTTACCCTCCCTATAGGGGTAAAGTGGACCAAATGCACGGTTGGAGTAAATTGTAAATAAGTAAGAAAATATTTAACAATTGACGTTTTTAGTTCTTTATAGTTATAGCCGAATGTTCGATGAATCAGCATAAAGCGCTAAATCATTGATATAATGCATATAAAAGTTTATTTGCCCATTATTTCATATCTATGTTCACTTTACCCCGCCTTCCCCTAATGAGAGAATTTTTAGTGTGTGAAAAAGTGAATCTTGAAAATGTTTGTGAATCTTAAAGTCGGAGCAACCTGAATGTGCTCGCTACGCTCGCATAATTAACGTTTGTTTTTTTTTAAATAATAAGTCTAAAGATTTGTTCTCTTTCATTTCTATGAGACTAAACCGCAAAAGAACGCTTAGAATGCGAGCGCAGCGAGCATATGCAGGTGTTATTAAAAATAATTAATTTGGTTGTGTTGTTTTTGTAATAATTTGGAATCTGGTGTTTTGTTGCTGGATGAACTTGAAAAAATCTTTTGAGTGTTTTATTTTTTACGAATTTGAAAAAGTCTTCAGTGCGGCAGTATTTTTTTTTTTAATCAGGAGGCTCTTGGATACCCATGGTGTCTTATTTTGGGAGCCCATGGAGATTTTTTTTGTAAATTATTTAAAACAATTTTGGAGTACTTTGGTGTTCTATTTGTGGATTCTGTTTTTTTGAAAAATTTAAAACAATCTTGAGGTTCTAGGTATTCCTGTTTAGGAAGAATTTGAAAGTGCTTCGGAGCCCCTAGTGTTTTTTCTTATAATTATTTAATTAAATTTAATTTGCTAAAATCAGTTTTATCTTAGCTGGCAGGTACTAGTCCGAGCTGCCTCTCCTTTATTTTCTTACAGATTATGTCATTTGCCAAAATTAGTCTTAACAGGTACTAGCCCCACCCACCCGCCCTCTTTTTTCTTAGAATGTATGTCATTTGCCAAAATCGGTCTTACTTTAGCATGTACTAGCCCCGCCCACCCACCCTCTCTTTTCTTGGATGGTATGTCATTTGCCAAAATCAGTTTTATCTTAGCAGCTACTAGCTAGGATAAGACTGATTTTGGCAAATGAGATCTCTCTAAGAAAATAGAGGGCGGGTGGGCGGAGCTAGTACCTGCTAAAACCAGTTTTATCTTAGCAGCTACTAGTACCCCACCCACCCACCCTCTCTTTTCTTACAAGCTATCTCATCTGCAAAAATCGGTCTTATTTTAGGAGGTACTAGCAAATTTTGCTCAAGTATCAGGTAGTCAGGTACAGTTGACAGAACAGTGGTACATTTCCGTTCGGGGTTAGAGGGCAAGGTACAACTACGCCAGTAGCACCTGTATAATCTTGGTTATTATAAAAATAAATTCTGTGCATAAAAACGAAAAACGATATATTGCAAATGATGTACTTCGTAGACAAATGTTTATAGAATCTAAAATTGTTCAATTGAAAAATAATGAAATTTCAAGGTATAATTTTGTGAAATATGTCAGCTACAAATTTGGTAATATCACATCATAATTTTACACAATAAAATAATATTTATACATATTTAGTTATATTTTAGCTTAGTTTACGCTTATTTTATTTAACTAACAATTTCAGAAATTATATTATTTGGAACAGCATAGATCAATAACAAATAAAGCTACAATCGCTTTAAGTTACTAACTAATAAACATTAACTAGTGATTATACAGATTTATGTAAGTATGTAATCTACGGGTCGTTTTTCAATGAATATATCAAAAGAACGAAAAGTAAAGAAAGTAAAGTTATTTGAAAATTGATATAAATATTATGTCCATGTTAGAAGGTATCTCATTTGCCAAAATCGATCTTATTTTAGCAGATACTAGCCCCGCCCACCCACCCTCTCTTTTCTTAGAGGGTATGTCATTTGCCAGACATTATAGACCATTATAGACCTCACGCTCAGGGCCGGATTAACAGGGGAGGCAGAGGAGGCACTTGCCATAGGCGCCAACGTGAAACAGGCGCCAAATGTGGCTAAATTCAATTTCAAATTATTAAAAATATTTGAAACAGATGCATTTTTTTCTAGACTTCGGAATCGGGTAGTAAACGCCTTCGCTAAAATATAAGCGATATCTTTATGCTTTAAATCGGCCTGCAGGTAAAAGCCTGCCGCCTTGGCCGTCAAGACCGGAAGTCGGACTGTCAGACACCGAGACCCAATATACATATATTAGGCACTAATAATCACTTCATTTGTCGGCATCTTTGTTTGGTAATGTATACTTTTTATTTTAGGGGAGAAACACATTTTCTGTTCCCGAATTTTCGCAAAATGAGTTTAGTCACAGTTTAGTCTTGTCTTTGCAAGCATACGAAACAAACAAAAACTAGATTGTCGTTCATTTGTGCTTTCTTTTAATAACATTGTATTATAACGTGAATTCTTTTAGTGTCAGTGATTTAACAAAGGTAAGAAAAATAAAATTCAAAATATAAAATTACATCCGCCCACAGACATATTTTTTTTAAATTCTTATACACATTCAATATAAGAAATTAAAGAAAATATGTCTAAAATTAACAGATGTCCGGACTTGGAATGAAAAGAAAATTATCTGGGTGGGATAACTATAAAAGAAAAATTGCAAAACAAGCAGAAATAAAAAACAAGAGGGTTCCTTGAAGAAATTTTAATTATGAGGCTAAAGATGAAAATATTATAGATCCCCAAAAAAAATTCCAAATTGAATTTTATTATGTAATTTTAGATGTTGCAATAAATGCGGTATCAGAAAGGTTTCAGCTTCTTCAAGAACACTGTGAGCTCTTTAGCTTTTGATATAATTTTAAAAATTTAAACGAGATACCACCAAATGAGTTGTTAATTGTATGGACCTTCAACTGGCATTGACAGATGAAGAAAATAAAGACCTTGATGGTAACGATTTGTATAGGGAGTTACACGATTTGTTGCTACCACCCAGTGTATTCGCACCAATAGATGTTCTAAATTATTTGCACAAAAACGAAATATTATCATTGTACCCGAACATTGCAATTGCCCTAAAACTTTTACTGACCATCCCAGTTTCAGTCGCTTCAGCAGAACGAAGTTTTTCTAAATTAAAAATAATAAAAAATTACCATCGGTCAACAATGACACAAGATAGGCTTAACGATCTCGCTATTATATCTATTGAAAAAGACATTGCCAAAGAAATAGACCCTCGTAAAATCATTTAACAGTTTACCAGCATTAAAGCCCGTAAAATTAATATAAATTAATATTTCAAAATTATCTATATATGAATTTTTGGTACTTGTTAGTTATAAAAATAAAACCTGTTTCAAATGTTTCATTTGTTTTATAATACCTACAAAAAAAACCCTTTAGGCACATCTACATAGGCGCTCTTGAAAATGTTGCCTCCGGCGCCAAATATACTAGGACCGGCCCTGCTCACGCTTATAACCCTCGACGCTTCACGTATGGGGTTCTAATCTGCGTTCGGTCGATAATGATTGTCTTCACTACCTTGGCGTATAATAGACTATTTTAATTTTTTTTTTTTTTTGGGACTCCCGAAACCCTCTACATAACGTACTGAAGAGTTAATCCGCCATTTTCCAGACATCCGGTATAACTACGAAAGCACTGATAAATAACAATGATCGAGTTATAATAATTATGTTGCTTATTGTACAAATAGGATTTATTCAGCAAAATTTTCTGATAAGGTCATCAATTTTGTGGGAGGGCTAAACGGTAAATTTTGATTAAAGATTTACCTATCAAGCTTACGATAATCTTGAAAGGTTTGCAAGATTTCAAAGCATTCAGTTTCAGGGTTAAATTACAAAATGTTGACATAATTTTGATTTTTTTCCAAAAATCTGGATGTGTACCGGTAAAAACTGTAGGAGTATGCTTTTTTTATAAAATTTACAACATATTTACTATGTACAATTTCGGAATGACGTATTTTCCAAAAGACTTATTAATAACTCTCTTAAATGTTTTAAAAGGTCGCTGGTTCTATGATTTCCTGGTAAGACAGTAAATTTTAATTATACACTGGATTTTGTAACATAATTGTTCTTTTTCAAGCTATGACCTAGATTTTTGTCAGGAACAACCTAAAATTAATTAACTGTGCCAGTATTTTATACAGATCAAGCACTGATTATATGAGTACTGTCTTTAAAAGTCTTCTAGTTAATCTCAAAATATTAGCTGCTTTTAAACGGTCACGCGGTTGCTAATGAATGGAGTAATCCTGTCTTAAGGTCGAATTTGTAAATTAAAATCCCATGAATCACAAGCGTACTTCACTCTGCTCCCATTCTAAAAATAATAACCGACATTCCTTTTTTCTAAATTTAAAGCATATTACAATACTTTGTAAAGGTAGTTCCAGAATTAAATGGCCGTGATTACGTTGATGTATACAAATCAAGTTACTTGACCAGGATTGACCGGGATATTGTATAGTTGGAAAAATAAAAATAAAACCAACTATATATCACTCACACGTAGATTAGAATACGTCACTTGGTAGTCCATATTATTAATAACAATATCAAAAGTGGGTTAAGGTGTCTCCTTCGAGACCTACCAGCTCACCCTCCTCGAAAACCTTCCTAGCGAACCCTTCGCTTCTGCTATAGTATTTCAAACAAGCAAAGTGAATTCTATTCTCAGCAGTCTCTATATATGGCCCGCGCCAATCTTACGTCGTCTGGCGTCGGCCGAACTTATTTAAGTAAGCGTCGCCGTCTTCGCCTCCCAGTCGCGGGAGTTCATTGGAGTAGACCCTTTCGACACAATGGTAAGTCTGTGTAGCCACCCATACCCCATCTCCTTGCCGGTGTTAGTGCCGTGAAGTGTTTAGTGCAGTGCCAATATCTGTTTCCAGGCGGATAAAGAAAAGAAGGTTAAGAAGAAGAAGAAGGAAGAGGCGCCTGCCGAGGCCGCGCCCGCACCCGCCCCCGCTCCGGCCGAGACCAGGAGCTCGTCGAAGGGCTCTTCCAAGAAGGCCAAACGCTCTGGATCCAATGTCTTCTCCATGTTCTCCCAGTCTCAAGTGGCCGAGTTCAAGGAGGGCTTCCAGCTCATGGACCACGACAAGGACGGCATCATCAGCAAAGCCGACTTGAGGGCGACCTTCGACGCCGTCGGTAAGCTCTCCAACGAGAAGGAGCTCGACGAGATGATCAACGAAGCACCTGGACCAATCAACTTCACCCAGTTGTTGGGTTTGTTCGGCAACCGCATGCAAGACTCCGGCGGCACCGACGACGATGACGTCGTAGTAGCGGCGTTCAAATCCTTCGACGAAGGTGGCACCATCGACAGCGAAAGGTGAGCGGGTGAAAAGCTGGAGCTGAGTTAAATTTTGGGGTTTTAGGTTCAGGCACGCGCTGATGACCTGGGGAGACAAGTTCTCCGCCAAGGAGGTCGACGATGCCTTCGACGCCATGGAGATCGACGACAAGGGCAGGATTGACACAACGGCTCTTATCCAGCTCTTGACCGCCGCTCCTGAGGACGAAGGCGAAGGAGAAGCCGCCTAAATGCAACACTCTATCATCATCGTATCAATCATCTCGTCGTAACTGCAGTTATTTTCTCATTTGAAACAATGTCACTGATGACATTTCTTCCATCATCATGTTGAGCTCACCACAAGATGTAAATCGTGCCATTTTGTACAAGTCGTACGCCTTTTTGGTTCATGTACGTCGCGATGACATCTGCGACTGTTTAATAAATCATTAATTTTATATTATTTTGGGTTTCATTTATTTTGTTCATTTTTGTTGATCTTAATGTCATTTTGTTGGAAAAAATAAATAAAACATTCGCTGGTACCATGTCAGTATGTGATTTTGTTCCCTGAACATTAGACACAAAGGTATTAGAGGAGCACGTTTTAGTTGGGAAATACAGAAAAAGAGATTACATAATTACGAAAGGCTAAAAATAATTTGAGCACAAAGTTTGCGGTCACTATTTTTATAAGCATAGGGGTATGTAAAATATAATTTCAAAATAATGCGCAGGCGCCACTTACATAATGTCACCTACGATTCAGTAGTGATCTTGATGTCTTTATTTGGTTGAAACACGTGACCAATTAAAAAAAAATCACGTAGACAAGTCTGTATTTGTTTCGTAGGACCCATGACATTCTTACAATACTTCGGAAGTATCTGACTATTTAAAAAATACATAAATAGTTATAACTTGCAATGACAACGAATGAATACATATGCAACCAACTATACACACGTTAACAAGTGCAAGTGATGACAAGCAGTGAACGAATTTTCTGACATCGTCCCTGCCGATTTTTGATACGATTTAGTATTAAGGCGATTTGTACTGGCAGTTTACGTTTAATTTCATCCTTATTCCTTAACCAATATTCCAAATAAACTAAACTCGTCTGAAATCGGTTTTAGACATCGGACCAATTACAATTGTTATTAGTGCGCTGACGCAAATCTGGAAGTTTCTATTGGCTGACAGCGATGTTGTGACGTGTAAATGACATTTGACAGCCGTTTTAAACAACCGTAAAAAAACGCTTTAGAGTGTCCGTTATTCGTTAATACCAAAAAATAGCATTTTCAGTGATTAACTGTTGAGAAAAATGTTTCGAAGATCTAGTAGTAGTTCACACATACCATTACCAAAGACCGATATGGGACGAAGATCAAAGTCTGCAGTTCGGTAAGACAGAATTTAATTGTTTGTAAAAAAATAGAACTGCATAGAGAATTACAGTCAGTTAACTAAAATAAGATAACTCAATAATATATATCTGCTTTTTAGGATAAGCGGGCCGAAAAGATCAGTGGGAGCAACTCCAGTGGCGGTACTATATCCAAAATTAAATTTTCCCAAAAATTATTTTAATTCATTTTAGACATCTGCGGCGAGTACCAGCAAAAAAACTAGTATAGGCAAATATGCAACGCCAAGTCTAGTAAGGTTTGTAATGTTTTCAAAAATAAAAACTGAAACGACTTTTTTAGGCCACTAAAACGAGCGGCATCAGGAAAACCAGTATAACGACACCTTCAGTGGTACGTCTTTACTTTAACTTTTATTCAGATGCGATAATACATTTTTTATTTTAGGCTTCCGCCTTATTTAAAAGATCTACGTCGGTATATATCTTAAAATATTTTTATTTACGTATTTTCTGGCATTGTTATGTTGTAGAACATGACACCATCTTCATATCGATCGAGAAGTAAGTCACCTTTCAAAATAGGGTCTGAGCAAGATAAGGACTGGGTGAATGTGCAGCTGACAAAAGTAAAATAACTTAAAAAAAATCCAATCATGAAAACGGTATAAATAATTTCAGGTTCATAATTTCCTGCAATATAATCAAAATTGTCCTGAGTCCATTCTGCACGTGTTAAGACCACCAATTACAATAGAAACATTTGTTTTTGTCATTAATATTCTGTTTAAAGAAATTAACCCTTCTTTAAATGTGCAGAATGCCAATTATAAGACTGTTGTTGCAAACACCCTTAAAATGCTTCATTACCCAGGAAACATAAAAAATTCATTTTTACAGACAGGTAATTTTCACACGTCATTATATTGTGTAACTATTTTTTTTTTTAACTGTAGTTAACACGAAACATGCGTGGCGTGACGTTGTTTCCATGTTTTCTTGGCTAGTTGATCTTATAAATACCATAAATTCTGTGCCTGTACAAGCACCTGCAGACGATCTTAAACGTAAGAAAATTGAGGTATGTTTTATTTCAAGTTAAAAGTTAAATCGCCAATGTCTTAAACAAAAATTTTAGTGTATCACAGACTTTCTTACTAAGAGGTACTTATCATACAACGGCACTGGTAATCGAGAACAGATAGACAGAGAGTTTGGGGAAACATTTGGTATGCAAGAACACAATTCATCACTCATATTCAAATCTCACTTTCAGCAAAAATTTTAAACGTTGACGCAAACGAGTTAAGCGACATAAAATCAAGAGTCTCAAAACTCAGAAAAGGGAAGGAAGAACAATTAAAGAAATTAGAAAATAAGCAAATAAAGAATGAAGTAGGTTCAGCTCTTCTAGTTGTTTTTTATTGCAATATTTTTACAGAATCTCCAACGCGAAATAAAAAGAATGCAAAATGAAATTGACACTTACTATGAAAATAAAAAAGAAAAAGAAGACGATGAAAAGTACGCCATCACAGCTCTGAAGGACCGACGCGAAAGACTGAGTAATTTTTCTACTTAAGTAAATTAAAAATTTGTTAAAAATTGAAACTATTTCAGAAGCAGCAATCAAAATGAAAAAGGAAAGAGTGGCGGAGCTTACGGGAATAATTAACAAACAATCGTACACAGTTGCAGATAAAAAAAGAATTGTTCAACATATAGATGAACTACAACATACAATAAGCCTGAAGAAAGAATCAAACAAGGAGAAAAAAACTTTGAAAGACGCATCTGATTTTAAATTAGTTGAGGCGAAGAAAGAGGTACCAATGCTTATTTAATCTGTTACAAAGTACAACGTTTGTTTTAGCTCCAAACTCAAGTCTACCGTTTTAACAACCGCGTTATGAAACTAGCGTCAATCGAACCCGCGCTTAAACTACTCTACTTGAAGGAAAAAGATTTTTTATCTACGGAATTTCAAAACGTAAGTCCTTTCGTGTTTGTGTGTATTTATTCCACGAAAAACTTTCAGGACATGGAAGAACTCTCAAAGACTTACAACAAATTCAAAAATATGTTTGCTTCAGAAATTGCGAAAATCAATTTTTCTCTTGCTAACATGAAAACTGACGCTTCGAAAATCAAGCAACAAAAAAAAACTCTTCAAGAAAGTATCGAGATTTTGACTAAAACTATTACGGCGGTCGAAAAAAAAATTGAAATGATTGACAAAGAAGTGGAGATGGTGGTTAACATTTTTTCGCACTAATCTTTTCTAACTTGGATTTTTTAGTTGACTAAACAAAGACAAGACGGTCGAAATAATTTTTCACGAAAAGTGGCAAGTTTGAAAGACACTGAAACAACTCTGGAGAAGAATAAACAAGAACTGGCGGAACTGAGGGAAATGTAAGTGGTAACGGTAGCGGGGAATATTGTTAAACTTTAATTTACAGACACAAGGAAAAATTCGACGACTTAGAAAGAAAAAAACAAATGGCTTTAAATTTTTTTAGAAAACTGCACGATATTATAGTTGGTAATTTACAGGAAATGAATGTAGGTTTGTTGTATTTTTTTCTGAACGTGAACATTATTTTCTGTTTTTAGAACATCCGCACAGAAATTTTTGACATGTTGAAAGACTGTTTAACTAAAGTAGCAGAAACGGAGGGAAATGTTTTAGATGACCTGCACAACCTGGACGAAGTTAAAAAGTAAACACTCTTTTCTAAATTTTCTATTTTAAAATGTTAAGTATTGTTTAGATATTAAAAATATTAATTCGAATATGGCTTTTATAAGCAGCTGGGGTTACTTGTAAAAATTAATTTGCTTCCCATTCATTCTTTCGTTGGGAAACAATTTAAAAAATACAATTGATTAGATATTTGGAAAAAAATATTCAAAAAGTGATTATTGTAATGTCCGGTACAGGCGCCATTGTGCAATCATGTGCTGACTTACCTTGTGCGATAATGGTTGCGTCCAACGTGGAAAATTTGTCAGTTTTGTTTGTGTAAATAATTACTGTCTTTATTCTACAAATGGAACGCTGAAACGAATATTTTGTAACTTTCTTTTATAGACAGAGATGTAGAATGTGGAATTATTCGTTAGTTCAACATTGTCGCAACTGCTGAGTAAGAGAAAAACCATTGAGATTTTTCTGGTGAGTGGGCTTTGGAAGTCATGGCGGCATAATTTTTGTGATAAAATGAAGTGGGAATCCAAGAAAAAGGTAATATGCGACTTATTGTTAGTGAAATTGTCGGAAGTAGCCCCATTTTAGTGTTTGTTAATATTTTTGCTACATTTCGGTTAGTGTTGTAAAACCTAACCTCAAAAGTTCTAGGTGGATCTGAAATTTTCAATAGTCGAGTGGTTGTTATTACAATCCAGCATCGGTTGATTAATGTGACGAAAAGGTAAGTATTCTTCGGCACATATTTACAAATACATCTTTTGCGACTATTATTCTTAACTTTAGTGATTGTGTTGTCTGATCCTACGTTATTTTAATGGATGTGTGTGTTAAATATACATTTTTTAAAATGGTGTATTTGTGTATTTATTGTGAAACCCGTATTTGTCTTGCTCAAATTTTGGGTATGTGGTAAATTTTTGTATCATTTTTTAGTTTTATTGTGTTTACAGAACATACTTGTTTTTATTGTTAAATGTGAACCCACATATTAATCTTTCAGGTACCCACTTTTTAGTTTGTCAGTTATTATTGTCAGTGTGTATAATGGCCACATTTTGAGTATAATAAAATAATATAAAATTGCTATGGAGTTGTGCAACATTTGTTAGCATGTTATATTTACAGAGATAAAACAATGCCATAGTTGTGGTATTTATTCAGTATTTTATAACCGCAATCTCCAATTTACAAAATCTATTTTTAATTCCTCCTAGCAGCTAACAATTTTACCTATTTTTATTCTTTTTTAGTTCTCTCTCCAAAAATAGAAGATCCAACTCGCACATTAGTGCTACCTAATTCAATCTGAAAATACAAAAATTACAGAATAATTAAAACAAAATAGAAAACTTACAGCTTGCTCATAATCAGTTGACATTCCCATTGATAAATGAACCTTCTTCCAATCAAGACCTAAACTCTGACAAACCTCATCTCTACAATTTTTCAGACAAACAAAATCGGGGTTTGGGCCATCTTTAGGGTCATAGCCAAACCGTCCGATAGTCATTAAACCCTCTAGATGCAAATTTGGACATTCTTTTAAAACGTAATTTGTTAACTTGATGACATCGCTAGGTGGAGCGCCGTTTTTTTCTAAATACATTTCATTACAAACAGTTTAAATAAAAATTAACAAACCAACCATCCTCTCCACTTGTGTTCACTTGAATCATGATGTTCAATTTAGACTCAGGTGGTCCAAATTTCGGCCAACTTTTATTTAAAATAGTAGCCAATTTCTCACTATCCACCGTCTCTATTAAATAAATATTTGGTGAACCCAACACCTTATTAACTTTATTACTTTGCAAGTGACCAATAAAGTGCCACTTAATCTCCTTACATTTTTCTAAAATTATGGGATTAGTTGATTTTTCTTCTAGTTCTTGTACGTAGTTCTCTCCAAAGTGTCTCTGACCGGCTTCATAGGCCTGGACAATCAAATCTACTGGCTTCGTTTTACTGACAGCAACAAGGTTGGGTTGTACATATTGTAGTTCCTAGTAATGAGTGACAATAGAGCTTATTTTGCAACAAGAAATAACTTACCGCGGGCCGTCTTTGGCACGCCTGTTCGACTTTTGTGAGAACTGCCTTCAGACATTGTTTCACGTCGATTTCTGTCATCTTTCTGAGCATAACCTTCAAAGTTTAACCTCAAATGTTTGTGATGAGATTTAAAGATTGTATTCACTATTCTTTGGTAAATTATCTAAAGACTGAGATTGTGGACTATGAGATCATATCTGGTGTTTATTTCGAAATTCATTGGAAAGTTTATTGAATATTTTTTAAATAAACACGTTATAGGTGGCGCCACAGAACTTGGTGGTCATGTCAAAAGCGTCCTAATTTTTTTCGCAGTTTTCTGTTTGTTGTTAAATATTATTCAGAACGATGTAGTATAAAATTGTGACTAATAATATTTAAAAGAAATGGAAATTATAGTAAGGTGACAACGTTAATTTTATAACGAATTTTATCAGTTAATTCATGTTTTGCCTAAAAGAGGGCAGCACAAAATTCATCGCTTTATTTTGAATTTAAAACTAATTTGTTTACGGTTTTAATTCAAGTAAGACCAAAATTAAATTTCGTATTTTTTAACATGGCGTATTTATTAACTGAAAGACAGTACACACACAACTAAATTGTTCACAGCCGTTATTACACAGTAAAATATTGATAATATTATTTAAGAGTGACAGCAGCTGCCGCGATAAAATGTAACATTATAAATTAAGGATTATTTCAAGTTTCTAAACCCATCCAGTCGAAAGTGGCACTAATCCGAACGTTCAACAAGACGAAGTAGAATTTATTAGTATACAATAAATAATAAATATTATGGCGAGATCTGTCATGATTTAACACATTCTCATAATTTATGAATTTAATCGGCAAAATTGCATGCTGCTTCAATCAACAGGAAGAATATTCCGGTTCCGAATGTAAAATGCACATGCAAATTACCCACTTGTTTTACTTGTTTAAACATCTTTATTACAAGTCTGTTAATTAATTCTCGATAGATACTTATTTACAAAGTACACGTAGTCATTTAATTACGCTAACTGTGCATTTCGCGCAACATTTTTGAAATATTAACCATAATTTACATGAGTAATTTCCTTAATGGAATTCATCGTGCGCTTTTGAGCAACTCGCTTAATTAACCGGAAAATAAATATACAATTAGGCGGCCACTTCTACCTATAGTTACCAACCAAAACAAAAAACGACTTACTTTTTTACGCAACAATGTATAATTTTTCAGCGTTTTAATATTGGGTGGAGTGTAATTGGCGGTTCTGCCCCAGTTTCCTCTTAAATCTGGCCAGTTTCGTGCGTTTAATCCCGGATTTCCCCAAGGACGTCCGTCCAGCCATCGCGTGTTATTAAGTCATAACGAGGGTGCCCGAATTTAATGAGGTTTTTATGCAGGCAATGACAGTCTTTTGTTACAGTAATGAGTTTAGGGCTGTCAATCGTCGTGGGTATTGTTGGCAAGCGTTCTTTTGTCGTTGCTCCCTTCGCCCCATACACACCTCTATGCCGTTAGAATGTTAGGGCGTTTTTCCTTCCCGGGTTAATCCTTAGGGTGTTCATATGTAATGGACGACATGTAGCACCGTGATGTTTGTATATCATGACGATGGCTTTGTGGCTAATGTTCGGTTGAATGGAAATGTAATTGAGGGTGTTCTGGAATAACAGCTTAACTAGGTTTAGAAGCACCAAAAATAATTAAGGCCGGTTGGAGCCCCCAAGGAAGGTAAAGGGTTACGCTTGTGACGTCAACCACTGCATCATGCTATTTTATTTTTTCGGCAATAAATAATTCACAAATCTCCAACTGTTTAAAATTTCGAATTGATTTGAGTTTTAAGAAGATCAAAATTCGCATGTATGTTTTAGTTTGGTTCGACTTTTGTGGCGTTCGGAGTGGCATGCCGCACCGATTTTTGCTTAATTGGCCTAAACTAAATATCATTTATCACTGTGGCACCGTGTAATTTTCGAACGGATTCTCTAATTATATGTTACGGATATACGTACCTGAGCGCTGATATAAATAAATTGTGGCTAATTTTGGGCTTTTGGGGTTTTGGTGCAGCGGCTGAGTTCTCTAATTTGGTAGTAGCGGTCACGAAGGGCTTGTTGTGGATAAAATAAAGGTGAAGTGAGATTAACTACATAAAGTGCGAGGGGAAGGGAAAAAATATTGTTTTTCATAGATACAAAGTAATGAAGGGATGAAATAAATTTTTAACATTACTTATAAGTACAATTCACGTTTAAAATTAACAAAACTTCATTCATTCAATATTACTACTCGACGTAAAATAGTTAATGATCACAGCTGAACATATTTTGCAAAATATAAAATTAATTAAACCTCTTCTTTTATACGCACTTCACATTCGCATATTTGTTTTGTAATTGCAATGGTACAAAATTAATTGTTGAAGAAATTAAATGCCACAGTTATAAATTATAGTATTAGTATTACACACAGTGACAACAACTTTATATTTATGTAACTTTTGTATGATGGAATCACAACATGACTGGTACTGCTGTAAACAACAAATTGCCATTATAAGGAAGAAAAATTAATAGTTCCAGTGAAAGAATTTTTGATGACCTCAGTATAACAGTGAACATAATTAGTTTTATAATTGGAAAATAATTTTTATAATTAATCTTATGTCATTTTTTGCCATTTTTCAGAAGCCACGTTGTGTAAAATAACTACAAAAAGTGACAAATTTCAAAGAGTTTTAGAAAAACTTATTTTTTACTACAATAAAAAAAAAGTTGTAGTACAACTGTTTTATACTGTCAGTTTCAACGTTAAAAAGAATTGTCAATAAATATTAGTTCAAGTAATTTTTTACATTTTAATTTGTACTATTTCTATGGGATTTGCTGCCGTATTAATTTAAGGAATAATTCGTATATTTAAACAACTTTCGACCAATTTTTTTCATATGGAGCTACGACAATTATTGTCTTAGGGCTATTTTTTCGTTTCTGTCTATCTTTAGTTATTTATTAGGCCACAAACATACGGACTGCAAAAATCAAGATATGTTAACAGTAGTTTTTTAGATATACCGAGTGTCCCAGTTAAAAATCCTTCTGAAGAATTGCCGAAATTTTAAAAATCTCTCAAATGAAAACGTTTATTTAACGTTATCTTTTGAAGTTGAAACACTAAATAATATAATGAAAATTTTTCTTTTACGGGAAAAGAAAACACGAAAACTTAAAAAAAAGTTTTTACCAAGATTAATAGTACCCTAAAACGAATAAATTTTTGCCATTGTGGCAAATTTCTTGTCGCCCAGTGTAATTTACGAAACTTCTGAATCTGCAAATTTTATGACAACTGAATACGATTTACCTTAACTGTGTTTCCGAATTTTAGTAGTGTATATGACAAAATTCTTTTTAACTAACTTTTCAGGTTCTTAAATAATATTTCACTGTTTAAGAATTCACACTGTATATGTTGTATTATACAATTGTCGCGCAGACTATAAAACCAAATTTATTTAATCATCCTCCAAAAAACTGATGACGTCACCTCAAAGGATTGGTATGTAAATTTTACCCGAATGTGCTGCGTGACATCCTCTACTTGCGGTTTGTTAATGCACTCTTATTTTTAACATTATGCAGTGGTTGTCCTAAAGGTTCATCAAATTTATTGTTTATAAGAATGATTATATAATTGCTTTATTAAAAATTTTAGTGAGACGCCAGCATTAATTTGACATTTATAGGACATTCACTCTTTATTTACTAACTCCCATTGGAAAAATTTAAAGAAATTTAATGACGGAATCTCAAAAAGTTATTAATATTTACGAAAAATGCATTAGCTAAAATAAATATTTTTAAATTTATAAGAAAATACACTGTGGCGTTAAAAATAAAAGAACATAGGTTAGGTTAAAAAACTATAGATATCAAGTAAAAGTAAAATTTTTATATTCGCTTTTGTCAAGTTTACTAAAATCTAATCTTGGTTAAAATATTGTATAAATTGACCCTTAACATTTAGTTTATTGGGTTAATTTCAAATATATTGTTTATCTGAAATATTACAATAACACATGTATCTAACTTGTTCAGTGATTCATAGATGGCGCGTACATCTGTTTCTTGGAATATTGTAACATTCACAATGCAATATTGTTTAAAAAAAGTACATAGTAGCATTTGCTTAATACTGTGATGAATTTTTGCTACCAAAAAAAAAATGTGTAAAATTATTAACAACGAATTTCTCACAAATGTATCGCCAAATTCAAAAACTTATTAAGTCCTGGTTGACTCCTGTTTTGTTGTGAATCTCACAGCCCATAAATTAAATTTAGCGTTTTTTCCGGTCAATGAAACACCTTTCGCTTGGAAAATAGCTTTTCTGTTATTGCACAACCCGAAAAGCTGCACACAAGGTGTTTACAAGCTAATTCGTGCGTAAATTAGCACAATATCGTCCGTCAAAGCTTTATGGTTGCAGCTCCTTTGAAAATTAGCTCCTCATTGTGCCAAAGTCCGAACGACAAGCTCATATTGGACGCGTCTAAAGTAACCACTCCACACAAAACCCATGCAGATAACGATCGTTTTCAGGTATTATAACCCCAAATAAAGACATTTGTTAGGAAATACAGTAAAAACATAATTTAAACACATTTAATTTTAAAATACAAACCAGAAAGCAAGCTTTAATAGCTTCATGATGAGATTTCTAGGGCGGTCAGCGTGAGAACTATTAGTTTTACCTAGAAAACGCTGTAAAGATATCGTGGAAGACCAGTCGTCCGAGGCAGGGATCAAAAAAGCACGCTGAAATGGATACTTTTACGTTTCAGCGTGAGATTTCAGCGGGGTGCAGACATTACGGCGGTCGGGGTTGGGCGCTTGTGGAATTTTCGTCCAACGCGTGCTGAAATCACATCGTGGAACGGCAGAGGCAGACGGACGGACGTATTCAACGGTGCGTGAAGAGTCATCTGTTGTTAACAATTATAGGCAACTTAGTGACACAATACAGCCCTTACCATATAATAGAGTGGATAATGCACTGCCATTATACGGAGCATTGTGTGCTCCGAAATTAATCGCTTGTGAAATATAAATTTATTTGGTAGTTAATGGCGTTTCGTTTGATTTGGATCGTAATTTGTACGGGCCATAAAGACGATCGATTTTGTGGATTTTTTTATTCGAGGGGTTGGGTGTTAGAAATTGTTACTTTAATAAACTCGTTATGAATTATAATGTATGC